TCTTGATCGTTTTTGACAAATGATTCTAAACGCACTAAGTGATATGGTACTTCTGTTTTTACGAAAGCCACATTGTATGTCAGTTATTAGGTTCACAATGTGCAAGAAACACTGTGCAAGAAACATTTTGTATGTTTGAGATTGGTAGAAGTCCGCTAGAATCAAACTTAGATATTAAAGTGCACAAAAAGGCAATTTGAAACTACAGTCGCTTGTTGAAGTGACTCCCACGTCATGTTTAGTGAAAGAGCTTGTTTTGGAGACACTACCCATCCCCCTTTCAGATGATGTAATCATAAGGACATAACGTATTCTAATGTTTTCAGGGGCGGTGGGGAAGCCTAGTGGTTAAAGCTTTGGCTCGTCACGCCGAAGACCCGAGTTCGATTCCCCACATGGGTACAATGTGTGAAGCCCATTTCTAGTGTCCCCGCCGTGATATTGCTGGAATTTTGCTAAAAGCGGCGTAAAACTAAACTCACTCACTCACTCACTAATGTTTTCACTTATTCATACATGATGCCAACGGTTCAAACTAAATAATGAATGTCAGTTCCAAAGATATAAATAATTGTATATCTGAACACAATGTTTTTGAAAGATTAAAATGGGGGTGTCCTTAAGAAACGGTCCTGTCTAAATATATATCAAGCAATCCAAATCTTTTAATGTTGATGATGACGGGAAGTCATCCAATACTATACTGAACATATTTTATGTGATATTATCTGAAGGCATACCATATCCAAGAGGTACCAAATGACAGATCGTTTTTCATGTTCTGCAATTTTTTAAGAAATATTATACCCCATTGCGTTGTGATGACTAATATCTCGTTAACCACATTACCCACATATATGAAATTTTGGATATGACTTTGCTAATGATTCCTGCAAAATGAAATGGAAGCTTTTGGACATCGAGAATATAGTTAGGCTGGCTAATTGTTCAACGCCCCTCGTAACATACTTAAAAGAAAAGAGAACGTCGAAGGAAAAAGGCATTTCAATCTCTGAATACTACTGACCTATTTAGATACAAAAAGCAGAGGAAGAAAGTAAATAATCTGAAAAGAATAGCCCAGGTAAACTTTTATGCTGATTTTAATAACTATTTATAACCTCAGTCTACTCAATCAGCTGGTTATTGGATGATCTTTACTTTTTTGTTGAAAGGTACTACTTCATCGGGACCCATCCCCATCTTGTAACTGATGATTCTGGGATACATTCAGTTTTCACAGATTTGGAGAAAGCTCAAATATTAACTGAATATTTTGTATCTGTTTCAAATGTTAATGATGGCGGCAAGACTTTGCCACCTATTAGCCATCGCTGTGTTAACAGTAAAACAAATGTCATTGTAACGGAAATGGAGGTATCTGATATGATTAAGACCTAACCAGCAAACAAATCTAGTAGACCTCATGGTATTAACATAACATACCTCTTTGTTTGTTGTATAGTATATCGCTGAGTGACTGTATTTCCTACAATGTGGTAAACGGGTAATGTTACTCCTATTTTGAAAGAAGGAGATACATCCCTCCCAACTAATTACAGGCCTATTAGTTTACTATCTATCCTGGGGAAAATTCTTGAAAGAATAACGGTAAAGCATGTGCATAACCATTTCCATGAACACAGCATTTAAAGTAAGTTCCAGTCAGGTTTTACTGCTAGTCATTCTACTACATCTCAACTCATAGAAATTCATCATAATATATGCTCAGTCCTTGATAATCGCCACCTTTACTGCGTGGTATTTTGTGACACTTCAAAAGCTTGGCATAAGGTTTATTGCACAAATTAGAAAATTATGGTGTTCTTGGAAACGTACTTAGTGGGTTAACTAACTATCTATCTGATAGACGACAGTGTGTATCTGTTAATGAAACGTTATAAAAAAAAATACTAAATGTTACTGCAGGGGTTCCTCAAGGATCTGTCCTTGGTCCATTTATGATCCTTGTATATATCAATGATTTACCTGGAAATTGATAAAATATCACAAGAATGTTTGCCGATGACGCATCAGTCGGTGTTGCGGGAAAAGATGTAAAATCCATAGAAGCTACTCTCAACTATGATTTAGTCCAATTGAATAAATGGGCAGAAAAGTGGTTAGTTAAGTTTAAGCCTAATAAGACTAAATTTATGCTTTTCAACCATGGACATTGGCCAAGTCCCCGACTTGATCTTCAATAATGAACATTTGGAGTGTGTACATCAACATTAACATCTTGGTGTTATCAGACAATACAAAGTGGTCTCATCATGCAACTGCTGTAATAAAAAAAGGCCTCTAAAATAGTCCCACAGATGTTCGATAGGATTGATGTCTGGCGATCTGGAGGGCCACGGCATCACGTTGACGTTTGAATTCTGTAGGAATGCCACTGTTGCACGAGCTGTATGAGGGCGGGCATTGTCATGTTGAAACAACTCCCTCTGTTGGTCGATTATCGGCAGAAGATGTGGCTGTAAGACGTCATCAATGTACCGTTGTGCCGTCAAATTGCCACGAATGATGACCAAGTCTGACCGTTGGTTGTAAGACATGGCTCCCCATACCATGATGCTTTCTCCTCCAAATCTGTCGACCTGTCGAACGCAGTTCGGTGCAAAACGTTCATTTGCTCGTCTATAGACACGTTGTCTACCGTCACGTCGTTGAAGAAGAAAAACGAGACTCGTCACTAAACCAGACTCTTCTCCAGTTTCTTAGGGTCCATCTCCTTACGTTAGTACACCACCTGAGACGTTGGCGTCGATGTTGGCGTTTCAAGACGGGCCCAACAACTGGTCTTCTTGCACGTAAATTTGCCTCATGTAAACGGTTCCTGATGGTTTGGGCCGATACTCTCCTCAAACCTGGCACCTGTGTTGCAGTGATGGTGGGTGTGGCATGCCGATTACGTAGGTGGCTGAGTCGAATAAAGCGATCCTGAGCCGGTGTGGTGATCCCTAGGTCTACCGCTCCTGGGACGATCTTCAATTGCATGGAACTGTGTGTAACGATTCCAAAGTCGTGAGATTGTTGTTTTGAGTACGTTTAGATGAAGGGCAACTGTTCCAAAGCTTTCCCCGGCCTCAATGCGACCAATGGCAATATTTCGATTTGCTGTACTCAAACGGGGCATTTTCGAACTTGATTTGCAGAGCAAATTATGTGAGAAAAATTACAAACTACGCGTGCTTTAAAACCCTCTACATGAACTGTGTTTTCAACGATTTGCACGTGCAACAGGCTTTAGCATTTTGTACATGACAATTTCGCACTTTCTCAAATAACACGGATACAAAGGTCAGTTTCCTCATTACAGTCGTTAAAGTACGTCCTACCAAGAAATATTCTATCAAGCATGTATGAAATGTACGCTAGACTTACCTTAGAATATGCCTCTGAGGTCCGGGATAATAAATCATTGTTCTGCAGATATTTGTGATAAATTTTAAATGGTTCGGCTCGAAGCAGCCGGTCTGCCAAAAGTTGAACAACTTGAGCCCTATCTGTATCAATACTAAATAAAATACATTTACGTTCAAACAAGGAAACTGAAATACATGTAGCCCAGGGGAGTACCGGAATGTTCTGCTGTCTCGGGAAATCTGTCACAACACCAGCGATATGTGGACGGACATTATCTTGCTGAAGCGTGAAGTTACGGCTGCACACGAGGCCCAATGATCTCATCTCTGTATCGCAGACCTGTGAGATTGCCATTGACAACACATACAAGCTGTGTCCGGCCATGAGATGTGATGGCTCCCCATACCATAACGCTCGCCAGCAAACTGCCGACGTTGAACAACGCACGCGTTAGCATACCTTTCATCTCGCCATCTGTACACCCTTGCCCTGCAATCTGAGTTGTCCAGATGTTGTATGCACCAGGCAAGACGTACCTGTCGGACATTGGAGCAAAATCGGGCGTATTGCAGGCCGTCGGGGCTGTTAGTTGTGCTCCTTCAGTCGGTTCCGTAGAGTCCTGGAACTGATTGGACGTAAGCAAGTAATATGGTCTGGCAGTCTGGAATCGATTCCTTAGATGGGTCAGCCGAGTGTGGTTGTGTTGCTGACGTGAAGTCACGCGTGCACGGCCGGCCGGTCCGAGGCAAATCTGTCGTGTTTCCATTATGTTGAAAACGTCTCCATAGAGATGAGATCGTGCTTCGATGGACGCCAAAATGTCTGACCACTTCATTTTGGGCCAATCCAGTCTCCAGCATACCCACTGCACGGAGACGCTGATTTTCTTTAAGCTGTGGCATGACGTACGCGCAGATTATGTTGAAATAAACGTGTTTTCCAAAACATTCAGAGGCTAGAGAATAATCAACCGTTCTTCAATTTTCTGTCATCGGTTCCCATTTGTGCAGGTCGATGCTCATGCTGTTGACCACTGGATTGCGGCGTAAAACTAAACTCACTCATTCACTCTTCCATTTTCAATATCAGGTGTGTGAACTTCAGGTGTTAAAAAGCATGCAAAAAGTGAGTAAGTCAATTGTGCACAAAGTGCACGTGCCATCAAAGTTCTTGCAAAGTGCCTTGCTGCATGTTTATTTAGGGTTATTTTTATACATTTTCAAATAACTTTTATTTTATGCAATGCTATGTTATGCACAATTATATTTTCCCGTTAGTATGTCCTCACTCAAATCTGCTTTTTTTTCTTAATTTCAAAATCATATGAGGATTTAAAAAACTACATATTTAGGTCAAGAAATTCAATTTAGTTTAAAAATTCAGTTTGTATTCTCACTGTCGTTATGTAACTATAACATATGAAATATGTAAATGACAATATTAGCATTTTCTATTATATATTTTTTTATAGTGTGTCTTTAATTGATAAAGACGAGTATTTAAGTAACAAACTGTCTCTCTCAAAGTTCTTAGAGCTTGTCAGTGTCAGAAGTAGGATTATAACGATCAGGACATCTCAAAAGCAGGAATTTTATCTGAGTCAGTCCACTCTCCTTGAAGTCAGGTCTGACGATATCAAAACTGTTGCTGAACGAGTCGTGTGGGGCTATAGCCCGGGGGTAACAGCGTGGCTTGTCAGGGGTGGGACTGACGGCCTCTGAGATGGATGCCTTGTGTACTACGAGGCACACGCTGTAGTTCTATCACAAAGGCTTGTCCCATTAAGTCAAGAGGGAGCCGTAGGTAACGGGCGTATATGTGCATACCTTGATATAGGTGAGATTAGCTGGGAAATGGGGACGGAGAAGCCTGCCGACTCGAGCTCTGTGGATATGGGAGATTCTAACAGACGTAAGTGTTTATATTTACATATAAATAGGCAATCTACGTTTAAGTGTTTGTGTTTGTACATTGATCCCGTGATGAACAATCACATTGCATGGATGATGCTGTATGATAAATCGCAGATGAATCGGACAGTTTGTTGGCCAGGTTTTTTCAAACATGGGACATTCTCGATCTCTGTCCGTTTCTTTTATTTGAAGGCCTGAATGGTCTAGTATGTGTATATTTACCAACTACGTTTGAACTCTTCCTTTGTCCAAACTCTGAATCAACAACACAGCTACAGTGAGCATTTATATTGCCTCGGTTCAAAAAGCCGGAGTTGAATCGGAACATGTTTGTTCCGTCGTTTGAACTTCATAGGGTTTACGGGATGTATGCTCCGGTTTATTCTCAAACACCATATAAAGCCGTTATTCGTTCCGCCATAATCGTTCAGTCATTCGTTCAGCGTTCAGTTATTCGTCCAGCCATCATCGGTCAGTCTTTCGTACAGACATTCGTTCAGTTATTCGTTCAGCTATTCGTTCAGTCATTCGTGCAGTTATTCGTTCAGTTATTCGTTCAGTCATCATCGTTCAGTCATTTGTTTCAGTCATCATTCAACATCATTCTTCCACTGAATGTGTATATACTAGTACCACTACTGCATGTGAATATTTATCTTTTCATCGCTGATGCGGTTTAGGTATTCCTAAGTGAATCGGAAAGTACGTGTCTTTTCGAATTTGTGACCATCTTGACCTCTGTTTGAAGGTAAAAGGGAGACTTTCCCGTGTATTTAACCGCCCATGTGTGTCGTCGTTCATCCTTCAATCCTTGATTGTTGGTCAGCTCACAGTATATGTACACCTGTCAAAAATGGCTACATGCTCACGTGAATAAGGAGCACGGCGTTATTGAACACCGTAGTTAATGGGATAATCATCTTAGAACATAAATACAGGAAATACAAACTCTCATATTTACAATAACGCATCATGTATCATGTTGATATTTTCACAGTACATGCAGATGCTCGTTTGGAATGTTTAATAGCCTTCGGTATGTGCTTGCGGTAAAACAAGAATGACTGGTTTTCTGACCATGGAACGCAACCAAACCACATAAACCAAGTTCATTCAAGCAGAAATAGTCACGCAATATTATAGTGAAATAAATAGGGAATGTAAAGCCTTAAGTCGGATTTGCAAAGGATAAGTTGATAATAGACTCGTTAACTGACATCTGGATTAATGCAATTATATCTTACTTGATAATAAAATAACTACTTGAATGTGACCAAAATAAATTTTCATGAAGAAATTATTTATCGGGTCATAAACCTAAAACCCCAAACGCTTGTGTACATAAACATGGTACACTACCACGTTTTTAAAGAAATTAACATGTAGGTTGTCCATTACAAGTCGTAAATTATGCCTTGACACGACACCTGTCAAACGAAATAGCCACCTGCAAGATGGAAAAACAGACCAGTGTTTTATTACAGATGTTTGTGAATGAATATTGTTTTGTTTCCTTATGTATTTGTGAAGAATTAAATTCCGTGGTTAACGTATAATAAACAACGAGGTTAGCATATTATCTAAAGACCAATCGTTGTGTCCATGTACAAGTGTTGTGTTTACGCTTGCTCGCTTCAGGTTACTGATAAGTTCGGCCATAAATGCCTCGGTGCTTTATCGTTGTTGCCTCGGGCGCCGCTTAATGTCCATTTCAGAATGTGGGTGACAAGGACAGGGAAATAGAGTCCTTGTTTATAGAGTAGGAATCCAGCCTGGGTTATGTCGATTCATCGTCTGGGGCTTTGGGGTAGCCGAGTGGTTAAAGCGTTGGCTCGTCACGCTGAAGACCCAGGTTTGATTCCCCACATGGGTACAATGTGTGAAGCCCATTTCTGGTGTCCCCCGCCGTGATATTGCTGGAATATTGCTAAAAGCGGCGTAAAAAACATACTCACTTACTCACTTACATCGTGATGCTATTTTATCCTTATGAACAGAATCCTTATTGACACCACTCATAACGGCACTCGGCTTGAGTCGAACCACCAACATATCTATGCATATTTTCGATAATATCGAGGACTTCGTGTTAACGAGGTGTTACTAAACTGTATGAGAAAATTGAGAAATATTGCTTGTAATTAAATAGTTTACAATAGAAAATTAAAAGAATACAAAGAAGTAGTACTAAAATGCCGAGAAAAATAATGAATACATATACACTTGAAACTTGGATTCGACAAAATATTACAAACGTTATCAAACTGTAACTAGGCAAAAAAAAGTGGCCGAAACACTACAAAACTTAGGTCTAAAACTTAACTAGAATATCTGTATCAAATACATGACCAACTGATGACCGTTTTTGTTTGTTTCATCTTAAGCTGCCCTTTAACACGACTGTATTCCTTACGCACGTTGGTTCATGGGCGTCGTTGAGCATCCCCAAACCGAAACATTATTTTTATGAATTTCATAAAATTCAACCGCCTAAAGGGAAGTAGTGTGTCAAAACAAACCTATTTCATATCTCAATAAAAATATTTCCATTTCTTCACTTAAAAAATCCTTTTGCGAGAAACTATTAACATTGTTTTAGCAGTGACAGTCACGCCCTCGGGTCACGATGTCACATTCCTCAAGTCACGCTCAAGTTGTTGTGGTAAATTGTGACGGCACCGCCTGTTCCTCTGGACTGCGTCACATCTATCTCCCTCTGTCTTAAAGTATACACTGTGTAATCCTTCTCTGTCGTGGTCCAGTGAGGAACAGCGTGTGGCTCTTTCAAATGCATACCTGCCTAGGTTGAGATGTTTCTGTTGCCCGTTCGGCGACACGTGAAAAGTTAATGACTTATGGTTTTAAGACATCTTTTCCCGTAAGAGAACAGTTCCACTTCTGGTGTATGAGTATACGATTCAGAATTACCTTCTTCCTCATCATCGCCATCACCATATTACCTCCGTAACTTCGGGACCTCCTCCCTTATTAAACAGACACGCTGTGATATGAAGCGGCCTTAAACCAAACTCTCTTACTCTCTCGCTCATGACCATTGTCGTTCGCATCGACACCAAGAGCAGTGTAGACTGTAAAGGCACATGGAGAAAAGCTTTCATATTTTTGTCTGGTTTACGGATTGTGGGAGAACAAATTAGTTGGCAAAAAACCCCAAAGAAATCTTCTCTTCCAAGTCGTTATTCGTCACCGTTTCTTTGGTATTATTACACATTCTAAAGATAACGTTTAAACAAGTGTTAATCATTCCATTTTAAATAGTAAATTATATATATCAGTTACTATACATATACACGACATAAACATATATACGTACATTGATGGCTATAGTAAGTGATTTGTGGGTAACATTTCAAAAAGACATATCAATGGTTGGCGAACTCATTTTTGGTACAATCGTAAATTACATTGTTTAAAAATAGTCTGGCCTCATGTGGAAGAGTGCCTCAGTCACTACAAGCATGGTGACACGACCAATCAGTTAACACATTTGTATCAACCTGATGCACAGTATAGTATAGTAGCTCTAAAGACGGACACTAAGTCTGCCTCGGGCCCCTACGGGGTCTGCTAGCAGCAAGGCAATGCAAGAGATTATACGGTTCTTTATGTTGAGCGAGTTTGGTCTTACGCCGCTTTTAAATTAACGCCACATCCATCACGGTTTCATATACACCAGAAATGGGCTTCACACATTGTACCCATGTGGGGAATCGAACCCGGGTCTTCGGCGTCTTTATGTTGATGATGGGTTTGTCTTCTATTGGGAATTAACGCCATTATCATCAGTTTATATGTGACGGCGGTCTCTAAATGACTAGAGTGAGTGAGTGAGTTTAGTTTTACGCCGAACTCAGCAATATTCCAGCTATATGGCGGCGGTCTGTAAATAATCAAGTCTGGACCAGACAATCCAGTGATCAACAGCATGAGCATCGATCTGCGCAATTGGGAACCGATGACATGTGTCAACCAAGCCAGCGAGCCTGACCACCCGATCCCGTTAGTCGCCTCTTTACGACTGAAGGTACATTCTAGCCCGGACCTTCACGGGTCCTAAATGACTAGAAATTATGGTGATCTACAATATTATGAACATCGATTCACGCAACTGGAATACGATGACCAATTGAGTCAGCGAGCCTGACCCTCCGATCCTGTTAGTCGCCTCGACAAGCATGGATTGCTGAAGATAATGCTTACTACTGCGTTCAATATGCATGCTATATACACAGTTTTTCTCCACCTGGTGATATGTTGTATTCTTTCGATTCAAAGTCAAACAATCTCGGTCTTCGGGGAACATCTGAAAGATAGGTTGGTGCTGCTTTGTATACTGTTCTTCTATCTATTTCCATCAGTATTTGGGTCATCGAGATTTTCTGGTCTTATTTATCTTCCAAAACTCGCTTCCACAGGAGATAACGCTTTATTTGAATCATTCCAAGTTTCCTCTATGATATCGCTATCACTACAATGAAATTGCATAATAAATCATTGCAAACCCGTCGTCATCTGTTATTGCCTGAGGAAGTGGATACAGTGGATTTCAGCAATCGGTATCTTAAGTCAGCCCAGTGGTGAAGGTGTTTGCCCATCACGACTTTGGCATGAGTTCTATCAACCACATGCTTACACTTTACACTGCTGCAAGATTACCCACATATGACACCTGGTCTCCGGTAAGGTTGTACACAGGGCGCGTATAGCCGCCTTCAGCACAAATACCACCCCCAGATACACGGTCTCGCTATTCACCCAGGCACATACTCCATAGGCTCCGATAAAGCATTCAGTAGTAGATAACATTCCCGAACCAGGTCGATTATATTTGCTCCTCTGTATGGAGGAATGGATGCAAGCCTCCATTGTTGAAGTCACGACACACCCATATCTGCTACACAAGTAATACAAACCTACCTCGTCAGACACTGCCACCCGTCAATGCTTCATACACAGGTCGGACATACCCCAGAATGTAACGAATTCCTGTATGAATAACTATCTATGTTCAATATGTTTTCTTATAGGTTGCAGAGGTTCGAGTTAAGGATTAAGAATGTCGAGATACCTGAATGGTAATGGGAAGGTCGAGCTTGATCTTGGTTTCAGTACGATTTTTTAATCCTGTTTTGTTTTCCTCTCTATTTCGATATTCTATCGCATTTAGTCGGTTGTTTGATTCTGTAATCCTTAACTGTTTTTTATGTAGTCTGAATCTTGTTTGAGATCCTAATATGTAACTTTGTAATTACTTATGCTCCTCATGTACATTCATTGGTGAAAATTGTAATTTTAGTAAAAACTGCTTCTCATGTGGACATTCTTGAGAACACGTTGTAGATCTTAAGACAGTAACGGACAACCAGGCCCGACCCCCGGGGTATATCGTGAGGACCATACTATGGTTTATTGACCCCATAAATACAGCCAGTTAGTCAGGCGAAACGAAACAGGCGTTATGGCTTAGAAAGGTATCCAAGTGTGTATGTCACTTTTGAAATAAATCGGATTGATTTCAATTACTGTATAGCTGATATGTAATAAAATGTCGATATATGCAGACGAGGAAATCATGATAATTTTGTCAAAGAAAATGTTATAACCGTGAGAAACGAAGCTGAAAAAGCAATATTGATGAAAAATCTAATGCCTAGCTGCTTTATACAAAACCGCCACGATTGTACATGTTAGGGGACAATCAGATAAATGCTGAAGATGTTTTAACTGAATATCAAAAACATTTTCTGACTATTGCCAGAATGAATGACATGTACCATGGCCCAAAACCCTGTGAGAACATGTGGAACTGGGCGATCTGGGTCAAATAAGATGCAGCACGACTTGGACAGAACGAGTTACGACCCTTACAAGCAAAACACACACACACACACACACACACACACACACACACACACACACACACGCACGCACGCACGCACGCACACACACACACACACACACACACACACACACACACACACACACACTGGATCCTGCCTCCTATCATATTTAGTTTGTTCATCATTGACCTAAAATGCCAGATCATGCAAAAGATCAAAGCGCAGAAATTCTGCTGATTCCACAATTCAAGAGGAACGGGTTATTTTTTTTGATTATCAGGTAACAATACGGCCTTTGTATAAAGGTTGTTATCTATGATTCGTGTAACTATGGCAACCACTAGTCGTTACATTAACACTTATTATTGGCAAACAAACAATTATAAACTTGTGTGGGTCAGGGAGTCTTTATAAGGACATTTACAATTGGTCACCAGCACAGGAAAGAGAGGATCCTGCGGAAAGGGTGGACTGCTGAGTTCACTGCACGCCATCGTACCCCGACAGTGTGAAATATTACTCGTAATATTCAACCACAATCTGGTCCTGTCACGACTATTTAGTGTCCAATGTGATGTAACAAGAATCTCCATGGTTATGGTGTACAGCTGAGTGAGTTGGGTTTTATATCGCTTTTAGCAATATTCCAGCGGCGGGGGACACCTGAAACTGGCTTCACATGTTGTACCCATGTGGGAAATCGAACCCGGGTCTTCCGCGTGACGAGCGAACGCTTTAACCACTAGGCTATCCCACCGCCCCTGCAAAAACATGAAGAAAACTCACAAGTGTGGATTTGACCCCATTCAAGTCAACCTAATTGCTGTGCACGTGGAAGTCCATTCATGCACACTTCTTTAATAGCTACTGGGTTATATAAGCGATCAGCTGTTTCTGTGAAGTATATACAGGTGACACTTGCATGCACATCTACTGTCAATACAGAATATTACACACGTCAATGGGCAGGTCCAATCAACGTTCGTATATCCAAAAGTACTACATGGTGTAGCAAGACGGAACCACATGTCTGTGTCGTCATTGTGTATCATTCAATTCCAATCAACATTCTTCAAGTTATGATTTATAACTGTTACTCAGAACTGCATGACAACAAAGCATTGTGACGTAAGATGCACGTCTATGTCAGCTGGAGGTGTTGATGTACCTGTCAGATCAAACATCAACCGTCAAAGCTGATTGATCACCAAGCTCAATTAGTTCCAGTGAGTTAGTATGGTTTTTCGCCGTTCTTAGCCACATTCCAGCCAAAATCGCGACAGGGACGCTAGAAATAGGATTGACACATTGTCCCATGAGGAGAATCGAACCCGAGTCTTCGGCGTAAAGAACGAATGCTTTAGCCCTGCCTCGATAAAGAAATTATTGTTTAAATTTTCTTTTTAACTAAACATTTACACAAGTCAAAACATTGATTACACAACAGTCTCGTTTCCTGCTGACTGGGTTCCGTCCTATTGCGCAACCAGTCCAGAAATTTGAGACCAACTCATTCAACTTAACTTATATATATTAATCAGTTTTATTTGATACATCTAAGCAATTGTATATTGCAACACTACGCTCCTTCTTATCCTTGCAAACACGTCGTGCAGCGCGCTCTGTCGTACAGCGTGCTCTGACAAACGGACATGTGGAAATCGTGGAAATCTCAAAACAATGCACGACCGCTAGAAACGTTTGGCGGTCTGGTACGGACTAGATATTATATCAATCACATTGTACGTTACAAACATACACTTATAAAAGCGCAAAGAACACGTAACAGGTGTAACCAGTGAGTCAGGTGAATTGTGAATCATTGTATGACCTCTTCAAACAGGGGCAGTCTGTGACGTATTAGTTAACGACATGCTACCCAAACCTCAACATGATATATAGAAATACGATTTTTTTTTTAAACTTTAAAATTAAAATCAATTTGTAAATACCATTTTCAAACAAGGAAGTGGAATTTTGTGTAATCATAGTTGTTTGTAGTGTATATATCCTTTCACTTTCATACGACTGAAAAGTAGTTCATTGTCTGAATTGGTTAATGAGACTCATGTTTCGGTTTGGTTGCCGTTATTAGAATAAAAAATGAAATACAGACCATCTTAGGTGCAAAACACAACTAAACCATCGAATAAAAAATGTATTTGGTACATGTGTAGCTATGACATGGGTGTATGCTATATTTTTGTCAGTTTATGATTTTGGACCGGCGGCTTCCAGGGAATAATACACGCTGTCTTCAAATACATGATATAATTTACATAATAACATAATAACATAATGAACATAATAACTGATTTAATGTGGGAAAATATGGCAAACTAGCGATTCAAGTAAAGGTTTACATATACACAGTTTCAGAACAATTAATTAAATCATTTACGCTCCGTAACCGTATTAGGTACTGTGCGGTAGGGTAGTTCAGTGGTTAGGGTGTTGCCTCCCAAAGCACAGGTTCGAATGTGGTATGTCTCCGCCAATGAATCAGATAGTACACATCTATAATCTAATTAATCTATAATCGGTGTTGTAAAGGTGACATCGCTGTAATATTACCTCAAACAGAATCAGTCATAACTAAAACGGGTTTTTAAATTATTTTTTCAGGTCAGTTGTCTCCCGATGAACGAGGTTACGTAGCAGGGCAACATGGCAATACGTACATGTCTTATGACGTCGTCACGAATGAACAGTCGCCCAGATCGTCGCCACAACCTCTGGCCGTCACTGATTGGCCAGTCAGGCCATATCCAGACCTCTCACAGGAGCCGGTGTGGGTGGTGCCACCATACAGGGAACCGGTCATCATGGGGTATGGTCCTACGTGGGTGGCGCCTGACGGCTCCATGACAAAACTGTATGATGATGACTGGTCGGGAAGAAGACCGAAACGGGTAATAATACTTTGTATATAATAATAGCCACATAAAAAGTATTCTTGTTTCTCATTACTTTTTCAAAAAAATATGGGTCGGGCGAGCGGATTTATTTATGTCCAATACCCCTTGATTTCTGTGGACATTTACACCATTTCTCCGATAGAAAATCAAAACTTAGAAGTTTGAAAAATCCATGCACATTTTGAGAGTCAGAGTTGCATTTCTTCTTGTGTAAACAATAAAAGAATCTTATGGTCAGGTCGAATTTTTGGGTCGGGCGGTAATGTGAAACAATACTATTTTTATATATGGCCTATCTAATAAATTTTACATTTGGTTTTTACTTTATTACTGTGTCTATTACTATGATTACTGTTTGAGTATGTCACGAAACGTACAGTTGTGAGTAAACGAAACGGGCATACAGGTTTGATGACTGTACAATATCATCGTCGTTGTCGTCATCGTCGCCATATCATAATCGTCGTCGTTGATGGACATGAAGATGTCCGCAGTCGAAGTAATATCATATTTCTCTGTCTTATTGAAATCTGATCGTTAGCTTAAGAAATATAGATCTTGGTTAAAATCAGAGTGAGTGAATGAGTGTGGTTGGTTTTACGCCGCTTTTAGTAATATTCATGCAATATCACGGCGGGGGACACCATGGGGAATCGAAACCGGGTCTTCAGCGTGACGAGCGAACGTTTTAATCACGAGGCTACCCCACCGCCCCGTTAATATCAGAGGTCACGTCAGTTGGAGGGCGCATCTATTGGAGTTTAAAAAATACATATTGCTTCGGAATAAAAAGAAAAATTGATAATAATAATAATACTAATATTACTCGCATATGCACGCACACACACACGCACATCTCAATGTCCCTCACAAATCGCGTCCCCATTCACTCCTTCTTTGAAGCTGTGCCCCATTTATCAGATGTCAGAAATTCCTTCTTTCTCATCTCAAGGGTCGCCGGCGATTGATACGAAACCCGGAATCAGATGACGACCCCCCCACGATCGTGTTTACGCGAGGTTGTTGTCTATGTGGGCGGATTCGTCGTGCTCGCTGTCGCCCTTGCTGCTATCATCGCCCTTGTCTACACACAGAACTCATAGTGACTCCTGCTGCACGTGCTTGTATATATCACCTGTCCATCATTGTCATTGTCAATAGCGCACCTGTCAGCCTTCGTTTTGTTGAGACAGTTGATGTGACAATTTTTGACGTTTTTATTTTAGGAGATACAATTACTGTACTGTATTTTATGTCTTGGATTAATTCCTATTAAGTCTCGCTGACATTTTTTCATGTAATTAACTAACCTGCCTTTGTTTAAAAGAAGTTTATTATCATGAAAACCATTCATTGATGTTATAATCTCGTTGATAAGGTCTGTTTATTTAGGAACATTTCTTGGGTACAAGAACTGCCATAGCATTGCTAAATTGTTTTAAAGAGCACAATAGAGTTCTTATTCCAATTATAAAAGGTAAACTAAGGTACAAAAGAAAGTAAAACCAGAAAAGTGCTTTGGGGATTATTTTCCTCAAAGCAGTGGAAATTCCTTGCAAATGTCCTGATTACGCCAATATGAGTCCCCAACGTTCGTGGCCTGTCATCATCAAAACTCTTTTCAAAATATTTACGTTATTTTGGAGAAAAATATTTAAAAATCAAACGTATACTTTCTTTTGTACGTCAGTTTATGTAATCTGTAGTTAAAAATAGCAATGACATATTTGTACTAGAATCACGTCCAATGTATAAGTTATTGTTCGTGTTATCATTGCAAAATGGGGATAGTGTTGCCAGAGTTCGCCATGGCTGAATGGATGTGAACCGACTTTGGGCGGCAGTTTATTTGCTGGTACATAGCAGTACTTGGGATGTTTAATGGCCTTGAGGCATGTATCCAATGTGGTGTTTCGTCATGCATGTGAGAGAAGAACGCCAGAATAGGTACTGAGAAAATATGCATCGGTAACATCAATTGTAAATATCAGATGCATGTTATTGTGGTTTGATACCCCAGTGCCAACTCAGATCCGAAGCCACAGGGTAGAAAGTAATTTCAAATGAACACAGAATTAGCACATTTCCGTATTTGGTCTGTAGAAAATCCATCGAGGCGTGCGTAGGGGCAAGCAATGTAGTTTTGTATGCAATTATTCTGTCTGTAATATACAGGTGTTTGACTTAACAAGGTTGTGCTTTAGATGTCATGTTAATGTTATAATGTAAAATATTAAAGACAAATGTCAGTCGTTACAACCTTGTACGTTATGTCTAAACACGTGAAGATCCGTTTTAGAAGTGTTCTTCAAGAACCCACGCATGGCGTTAGTGGTGACGAACCGCATCTGGTGGTCAGGCAACACAAAAGCCATTAGTTACATCCGTGTATGTCTAAAACCGTGAAGATCTGTGTTAGAGTTCATCTTCAGAAACCCATGCTTGTCGTAAGAGAGTCTGGCCGTCAGGTTCGTTGACTTGGTTGATGCATGCCATCGCGATCGTATGAATGAGTGAGTGAGTTTGGTTTTACGCCGCTTTTAGCAATATTCCAATTTAGCAATATTACGGCGGGGGACACCAGAAATGGGCTTCACACATTGTACCCATGTGAGGAATCGAAACCGGGTCTTCGGCGCGACGAGCCAACGTGTTAACCACTAGGCTACCCCACCGCCCCTCCTCCGTATGAAAATTGCGTAGATCGATGTTTAAGATGTCAGTCACTATATTATCCCCAGAACTTATGTTTTCGCGTTGATTGCAATAAACTGTCGGTTTTTATTCTGAAAGCATTCATACATATCGAAACTTACCGAAAGGTTTATGTTAAAATGCATCAGGAATATGTATTGTAAAAGCCAGTGCGTAGTCACATGTCATACATTGTAAATCATGAATCAATATTTATACTTTGTCTTCTTGTTAAACATTGGGTGTTGATAGACAACTGAAAGTCATTGTATATTTTATGTATATAAATGATAATCCCTGTACAATGGGTTTAGCTCATTATGGTATTTGTACGTGCAAATGAGTATATGTATCTTAATTAAGAAATTAAAATATTTTAATATATTCCACAAATGAATGGTATTGTGATGTTTTATTTAGTTTGTGCATATGTTATCGTTGCAAACAAACATTTTTGGTGTTTCTTTCATAGTAGGTAGCATCAGTATTACACACACCCTCTCCCTGAGTGAGAATGGTTTTACGCCACTTTTAGCAATGTATACCATTTGGGGAATCGAACCCTGGATCTTCGGTGTGACGAGCGAACGCCTTAACCACTACGCTTCCACACCGCCCTTCACACCTCTGAACAAGCCCATGTATCTGGTATAGAATTTGCAGAACTTAAGATTCTTTCATATTACTGTAGTTAGTCCGCCATGTAATGTATTTGAGTATAACGCTTTAACTGTACTTCACCAGTATCACAGTGTATAGCCCGGCGTGGACCGAACGCCAGAAGGGATGCAGATTTTAGACGTGTTCGACTTGTGTGACAAATCTGTGCCAGACTAGTGAGTGAGAGCGGTTTACGCCGCTTTAAGCAATATTCCAGCAAGATCACGGCGGGGGACCCCAGAAACGGGCTTCACACATTGTACCCATGTGGGGAATCAAACCCGAGTCTTCGGCGTGACGAGCTAACGCTTTAACCACTAGGCTACCCCACCGCCCCTGTGCCAAACTTGGACACCTATGAACTTGAGGGTTCTCGGATTAAATACTTAAGGGTTAGAATTTGTCTTCAGCAACCTTTGCTTGTCGTAATAGGCGACTAACGGGTTCCGTGGTCAGGCTCACGTGGTGACTTGGTCAACACATGTCATCGTATCCCAACTGTGTAGATCGATGCTCATGATGTTGATCACTGGATTGTCTGGTTCAGTCTCGATTATTTTCAGACCGCCGCCATATTGCTGGAATATTGCTGAGTGCAGTGTTAAACAAACCAACCAACCAACACATCATAAGTCTTGAGTCTCAGGCTGAGGGTCACAACACAACACAGTACAGCGAACCGCATCCATCACCGAACAGTTGACACTTTGTTTTCAACATGGTAACCTTCCATTTACCTAAGACCGAACATGAGCGCATGAAAATCTTGTCATACACTATTATAATAAACAAATCACACTTTGTAAAATAAACTCTGTCAAAAAAAGAAACGCAACCCCTGTCCTCAGATATGAAAAATTCGTTTGAATGAAGTTATTGCTTCCAAACTAAATTTTATTCGAATGTATTGAAATTATACACGTAATTAATGAAGATTACCATCCAAACAACTGCATTTGTACGCATAAGTGTATTTTATTGCTTATTCCGTCACAACGCATGAAATGACCCTCATGGTGACTTCGCACAAAAAAAACACATGCAAATTCAATTTGACCAACGATCGCCCGAGAAGTGGAAGGCCAAGAATCACGACCCCCCTTCAAGATCGGTACATCCGGGTCCATCACCTGCGTAATCGGCATGCCCTACCAACCGTGACTGCCACACAAATACCAGGTTTGAGGAGAGTGTCAGCTCAAACGATTAGGAACCGTCTGAAAGAAGCGGGTTTACGTGCCTGTAGACCAGTTGTTGGACCTGTACTACGCCCCCTACATCTCCGCCGACGACTCAGGTGGTGCAACAACGTAAGGATATGGACTTTACAAAACTGGAGGCGCATCTGGTTTTCTGATGAATCCGTTTTCTTTTGCAACATCACGACGGAAGAAAACGTGTATAGGAGACGTCATAAACGTTTTGCGCACATCTGCGTCCGACAGGGGGACAGATTTGGCGGAGAAGCGTTATGGTTTGGGGATCCATCTCATACAACCAGAAATCAGACTTGGTGATCGTTGAAGGGAACCTGACAGCCCAACGTTACATCAACCACGTATTACAGCCTCACCTTCTCCCGATTATTGACCAACAGACACCGATTTTTCAACCAGACAACGCCCGGCCTCATACTGCACGTGCAACAATGAACTTTCTGCAGAATTCCAACGTCAATGTCTTGCCATAGCCCTCTAAATCACCAGACCTCAACCCTATTGAACACCTGTGGGATACTCTGGGTCGACGCGTACGTCAACGTCAGCCGCCGCCACAGACGCTGCAACAGCTCGGCGTTGCACTGCAGGAGTGGAGAGCCATTCCCTAGGAAAGAATCCGGCGTCTTATCCGTTCTTGTCCAAGGAGATGCCGTGCAGTGATTGCAGCTCGTGGTGCTCATACGAGATACTGAGAAAGACGCCCCCCTGGTGACAAACTGGTGTCTGTGAGATGACTTTTGAAATGACAATTTTAAACATGCCCATCTTGGTTATTATTCTGCCAAATTTCAGACTTCTGTCTTAAATAATAAAAATGCTGTGTCGTCTTAAAACTTCAGATCAAAATCTCTAAAATACAGGGGTTGCGTTTCTTTTTTGACAGAGTTTATTATAGAACGATGGTCATATTTATACATCTTCACAGTCTCTTAAATATATTTGCGTAATATATGCAAATTGGCTCCCTTAATGAGACGTCTATTTCAAACTTTGATCATTTACTAGCATGCATAAAACGTGGAAATACTTTCCATTCGTGTAGTGATGAACATCTGGTGAAAGTGAGTTTAGTTTTGGGCCGCTTTTAGCAATATTCCAGCAATATCACGGCGGGGGACACCAGAAATGGTCTTCACACATTGTACCTATGTCAGGAATCGAACCCGGGTCTTCAGTGTGACGAGCGAACGCTGTAACCACTAGACTACCCCATCGCCCCTCTGGTCACTGACATTTGCATACATTTCCGAAAAATACCCGGAATACGTTCGGATTACGTTCAGGCATAGGAAGCCTTTTACTTTCATAATGCAGCACTCGATCAGTTCGCAATGAAATGTGTATCAATTCCAATTAATTTTCCAGTCTGGCAGAATCTGCTTCATACGATAGAAAACGATTCATCGGATGAAAAATAACGTTGCTCCCGTATAATTTTATCGAGATACTATTTCATTTGCTGATGGTTATACACTGCATATGATTTTATACACTGCCGATCAAAGACAATATACACCTATGCTGATTTATACACTGCCGATCAAAAGACAATATACAACTATGCTCAGCGGGGGTGTAAGATAAAACTATTTTATGGCGAATTTAAATAGGGAAGTATTTCGGATATTTAAGTTCGCAATTGTTCGGCAACAGTTTTCAGGCTAGAAACATTTTGCTAACATCTGGGTCCAGTTTCAGAAAGCGACTGTCGTAGCTCCTTTACTGTAACATAGACTTACGACAGTCGTAGCGCTACGATAATTTTCTGAAACGGGGCCCTGTACTGTGTTGGTCAAATACAATTTCAAATATATACGTTCTTTTGTCTGTTAGTCTATATGGACAAGCTGTAAACTGACTGAATACCAATCCATGTCAGGTTTCACTGCGACACAAAAGCAGCCCTTAACGAGGATTTAAAACATCACGTGTCAAGGTATTCAAACCTTTGCCTTGCCGTTCCAAAATTTGCGTGCCTCATGGCCGATATTAACGACTACAATTCAATACCCAATGCATCATTATCAAACAGTGCTTTGCTATTTCATCTCTTTTTTTTCTTAGCGGTATTAGCTTAACGGGCGAGAACGCTATTCACCGAACTCAGTTCAAATAGGGTGTCGCTATTCACAAACACTGCAAAGGAGTACAGCCATGGCGGCCGTCACGGGTGACCAGGTCTCACGACAAGGTCAAAAGACGCTCATGCATAAACACGTAGTTTCAATGTTATGATAACAAGTGTTCATCCACCCGAATGTTTTGATCACGTGACGACCTGGTGACGTGGACCGAGGTTGACATCGTTGTCATCCCGTCATTGAAGACTGCGACGACTACGGAGGAGCACGGTGTGAGACATGGACGGTATTTTCGGCATTTAAGGTAAGATATATATTACTGAGAAGAGTTCCTGTAAATGCAAAGCAGCAGTGACGTTTATTTCACAAAATGATACCAAAACGTCATGCTTCAAATGTTCAATAGATTACCATGTATGTTAATTGACATAGTTTGTGAACTCGTACAACGGCTTTTCCCCATGCTAGATGTAGGTATTACAAATCGTACAAATACTATTTAACTGTGTCTTTCTATCAATTTACGAAGATTTATGCTGACTCATCTTCATCAAAATGGATAAAATCAACTTGGTCGTTTGTTAATCTTAAATGAAACTATCGGATTATTGTCTTTGCATAGCTGAATGTACAATGTTACTGTAATAATATTTTGTTATAAACAAATTTATCTCCAAAATTTATCAATAAATTTATCTCGAGTGACTGTCATCATTTTGCATGGAGAGGTATAACACCCTCTCTGAAACCCTTGTTAAAAAATAGACTGTGGAAATCATTGGGTCTGATAGGGAGTATATTGTCTTGACGGTCCAGTGTTGAAACAGGTGCCTGTGTTTAAATATTGTATTTCCAACCTACAGGTTTGGAATGGCATTTGCTCTCAAAACAGTATTGAAGCAATGTAGCAAATATGATATTTGGAAAGTCCTTTGACCTTTCACAAACGACATGGTGGCAAAGTGGTATTCGTCTATTCCTATAAAACGGGGCGATGGGGTAGCCCAGTGGTTAAAGCGTTCGCTCGACACGCCGAACACCCACATGGGTACAATGTGTGAAGCCAATTTCTGGTGTCCCCCGCCGTGATATTGCTGGAATATTGCTAAAAGCTGCGTAAAACCCGCTCGCTCACTCACTATCCATAGTGGGGTGGATGGTGGTACGGGGGATTATACCAACCAGGAACTGCTGTCAGGGAGTTCAATTCCCAGATTTTCCCTGATTATGATCCTTCCATTCACCAGAACGGTAACCGTTTAGCCGTTTTCTACCCATCAAGCTGACACGGTCTAGTATAACGGAAATACACTTCCAAGTGATGTACAACGTATCCGAAAGCCCCGGAAGAAATATATACCTGAACTCGGACAACATTCTACAAAACACATCACTAACCTGCAGAAACATCGACCAGTGTCTCTCGATGTCACCGAATATTTGTGTCATATCAAGAAATGTATACTGAGAGAAACAAAGAAAGGAACACAGGAAAATTCAAGTGTTCCTTTAATATTTTCCAGTGTTCATCACCAGCCTTGAATAGCGCTGTGGGAGGAAATCTGAAAATAAATAAAGGAACACTGCCATGAAGTGGTGTTCCGTTATTTGTTTCCCTCAGTCTACATTGATATCGATTTCAGCAAATATACCATGATCTCAAGAAATATACCTATCAATCAATCGTATCGTTGCACAACTGTATGTAACTGAGATACACAGACAAGGATGTTACTGACAGAAGGAACAATGAATACTGAACATTACACTGTCCAAACTCAGAAGTGTTCGCAATGGGGAATTGTGTTAATTTTCTGAATATAAAGTTCATTTCACCTCAGTAAACAAACAAATATTCCTACAGACAGAATCACTCCGTGTGCGCCAGATATTGCAACCGTTATTGTCATATTCCACCAACCTTTCAGCAGCAGATGCATGTTAGTTAGTATGAGCCGCTGGATCTGTATTACCAACAATCTTTGTATCCATTGTGGTATTATTGCAGCCTCGCTTCCGTTTCTCGAAATGACGTCACATCCGGCGGCATACGACGACGACTATCACGAGTCCGTATCAGTTCAAGCCCCTCGAGAATGGGCATCAGGTATGTCACTTGACATTGCTTGAAGCAAAACCATTTGATGTTTGGTGAAGCATTTGTTTCGTATGAACGAAATGAAAGAAAACGAGCATGTGTCAATGAACTTTTGTCAACTAGTGATGACTATAATTTTAGCGTATTCTGCTCCAACGATGGCACCCGTCAAAACACGCAGAAGCCAGTTGTTTGTCTAACAAATCATGAAAAGATATGGTACATTCACGAAATATGGAACATTAAAAAAAAACATTTATGAAAGCTTCGCAAAGGCCCTAAATATTGTAACCTATGAAAACCTATGCCAAATCATTCAAAAGGCTGCCCAAGAGCTGCTGGAATATTGCTCAGCAAAATGGGACAGTTGAGTGTATGATGATAATTATATATAATATTTAGAGAGATTTGATTGGCGTAAAGGGCAATACAGCTGTGGAAAACAGTAATGGTGTTCACGAAAGGCTCATCCCTTTTTCAGTCACTCAAAATCTTCTTTAAGTGGCATTTACAAGCTGGTATGAACTTTGTTTTAGGGGATACACAACTCCTTTGTTGCAGTAGATCCGACGTTTCGGTGTAGACGTTAACACCGTTATCACCTGCTTGTTAGCATCTACACCGAAACGTCGCAACTGTGGACGAAGTTGTCCATCCATAACAAAACGTTACTCTTTATATCAGGTTGCTTGATACCGGTGCTATCATCTACGCCGAAACGTCGCAACTATTGCAATAAAGAAATTGTCACCCCATGACAAACTTGTTCCTCTCTAAATCTTCACACGTAAATCTAAACATGAAACAGACGAGGCGGTCTCATTGGTTTCTTATATTTCAATTTCACTTGAGTATAGAGGAGCGATACTGCCTATATTGTATTTGAATACTGAAAATATATCCAGCACTATTTCGCATTTTCGTATTGAGTTGATGTCAGTGGGAGTGAGTGAGTGAGTTTAGTTTTACGCCGCACTCAGCACTATTCCAGCTGTATGGCGGCGATGTCAGTGGGTCAACTTATATTTATGACTATTATTTCATAATAATTATACTTTACTTTTAGTGTGATCTCATTGTATATATGAATACAGTAATCTATAGCGAGGCAGGAATATCATGTTTCAGCTTCCGGTAGAGCACATCCTTCTTCCGCTGGACCGCTACCATGGCGATATACCCGGGCGCACACCGTACACTCTGGTAGCAGTGCATGGGGCTTTAGGGTAACTATCTTAAATATATGTTCTGTCAATTAATTTTCAAACTTTTAAAACAAAAGCAATATATACTTTAGGAAATTCTTCATTTCTGGATTTTATTTCTGGATTTCTTCAACCATGAGGCATTTGTCATCATTCATGAAGTTATTAGAGGTCTGGGTCAATTGTTTAAAAGTATCATTCAGATTTATGGGAAAACAAGACTTCCTCATAGATAACAGCTGTGTAAAATCGGTCAATAGTAGGCTTACCCTTGGGCATCAGTTTGCCTTCCTTCTTGTTGTCTGTTTTTAATGCAAATGAATCTTAATTTTTGCTCGGATTGGAAAAATAACGGAATCTGGTCAGGACGTTTTCCTTAAGCTCTATGTGTATAAAAAATCTGATGTCGTTCAATAATGGTCAATGCCAATTTCCAATAATGTACCAGCCTTAACTAAAAATGTGTCACATGTGACCCTTGGGCGGTGGGGTAGCCTGGTAGTTAAAGCGTTCGCTCGTCACGCCGAAGGCCCGGGTTCGATTCCACACATGGGTACAATGTGTGAAGCCCATTTCTGGTGTGATATTTCTGGATATTGCTAAAAGTGGCATAAAACCAAACTCACTCACTCACTGTGTCACCTGGCTACGTATGACTTGGATTCCACAGGAACCGTACCTGCTGAGACGAGAAAACGACGCCGATGTGACGTCGACACACACCACCAGCTGCCTCCACGACGTCGTCATTGCCATCGGCATCATCACGCTCCTCTCTATCATCGCCCTGGCTTTCATTGCAACGGTCGGCCTCAATAACCAGGCGCCTGTCACGTGACACGTGAAGACCATTCTCCCATGTAGGGTGTTCTTAATGCCTGAATCTACCTGCTCAATGTGTTCAGTTATTCGGTGCCTACATTTTCTGTGTTTCAAAGTATGCTAACTGGTTGTATATGTCTATATTGTTCGATTAAAGCATTCTCTTTATCTCAAGTTCATTTATAATGCTTGAAGTTTTCACTGGAGTGATTGAGAAAGTTTAGTAAACCGCCGCTTTGAAAAAATGTCACGGCCTGTCAGCCTGGTATGTGACAAACACTATCGTAATGAAAATTTTAATACGAATTTTAATAAGCTTCTTCAATCGTTGTGATAACAATGTTGAGGTGAGGTAAAATTGGGTTTAACGTCGTGCTTGAGAATATTTCGCCCATATGACGACGTGCATGCGTGTGTATGTGTATGTGCGGCTGCTTGTACTAGCCCAGACTGAAGCTGGTTTTATAGTGCTAGCCCACTGAGATACCTTGCCGCAGTGAAGCATGAATATCCCACTCAGACACATTATACTGACTCCGAGCCGACCAGTCCTTAATGTACCCATTAATGCCGAGCGCCAGGCAGGGACCAACAAGTACCATATTTTAACGTCTTTTGGTATGATGCGGTCGGGGATCGAACCCGTGACCTTCCGCTCTCCGGGCGGACGCTCTAACCACTACACCCCGGAGGCGGCCTGATAACAATGGACTTGTGTATATGTGCAGACTTGGTTTCAGCCCTTTATGGTTGAAATAATGCCGACGTGAGTCTAACTCATTCAGTGACTGGTGTGTGACATTGAAGCCGGCGGTGATGCAGAGTTCAGTCGTTCACCACTTTGGTAAATCCCAGGAACCCGGTACAAGGCTGAAACGTTGTTGGCTAAAACGCTGAATAAGGAAAGACATGTTTCTGAAATGTTCAAACGAGTGCTGTTCACAGATAACACTCAGTGTTTCCTTACATGTCTAATTAATATTTAACATTTCCGGAACTACCAACAGTTTCATTTTCTTCTTTGTTGTTCAATTATAAGACAACAACAACAAGATTCGATAGTTATGTTATTTCAAATATGGCCCAGGTTTTGGACTGTTATGGAATCTGTTGGAGCGTAAGCCACAAAACGAGCAGAAAGATCAAGATTAAGCCGTTGAACCAGTCACAGGGGGCAACTCAGTGTGTGATGTTGTCATTGGTCGAATGCACAAACAGTGAAAAGGAAACTGAACTGGAATAAACGTATTCTAACCCAGTCAGCGGTCATTCAAAACCCGCCTGCTCTAAACGAACATGCCTCAAATGAACTCAAATGATTGTTATAGTAAGCGTCACTACATAAATCGTGCGATCTAATAACTTGGAAGAATTGGCATATCAAACAACACCACGTATAACTCCTGTCAGTTAACGTAGAATGAAATCTGCCCAAACCATGCCTCAGAACTATTCGTTATACAACATACATATTCATTCCTTGACCCACTTGGCATTTGGCATAACATGTGGTGACCATAAGTCTACTTAACAATCGATATTCAAAGCTTCAAGACAACTTGTCCAAAATGAAAGCCAGTGTTTACTATACTATTCACACTTTGCTAAGGATGAAATCATTGATTCAAGAGAAAACTATGATGCGGGGTCTAATTTGGGTTAAATATCTAAGCTTGTTGTCAGCATGGATCCCTGGTTTCTGTATGCCATTTCATCTTGTGGATCTCATACCTGCTATTGACAGGTGTTATGTACTTGTCAATGACTCCTTCCATGATTTGCAAAATGGTTGATTGGTGCCATGAATACCATTTTTGTGGTAACTCATGTATCAAGTGCATAAGGTTAGATTAAAGTGGCTGTTTGCCTAAAGAAGGGTTACTATATTATTATTTATCCAGTTTTAAATGCATACAATTTCAAATAATAAATCTATGTTTAAGTAAAGTTGGGAAGTTTTGTGATCCTTAGCAAAGTGTGAGTAGTATATGTGAAGTAGCTAAAGGCATCTCCAGGCGTACAATGGTGCTGCCCTTTGTATCTGATCTGTTTCTATATTAATATGAGCCCGAATGAGAACAAACTTTATGGATAAGAACCTATTCTTGTTCCGTTGTCAAGCAGGAATCTGTATAGAAACGACGCACTCACGAAATAAAAGAAGTTCTTATCCATAAACTTTGTTCCATATTGTACTTCTTTACCTCTAAAATGCCACTCAAAGAAGTTATGAACCAGAATTTCTGTACTGATCATGATTGACCAAATATAGCACACACAAGAATATAGCCAAAACGGTTTTGATGCATCGGTAAGTTGATATAGTTCAGTAATGGTCACATGGACACGTCCGTTCCACTGATTTACACATCTGAACTAGACTGAACAGACACCAGTGAAACACCCACTTCTGACAACAGACTATCCACACAACTGTATCACTAAAGAGAAAACTCCAGCTCTCCAATAGTCGTTGTTGGCCTTGTTTGGCACCAAACCGTGAACTGCTGTGACCCACATCAGATGGAAGTCCGAACTGTTTAACTTGAAGAAGAGGCCCACTCACAAACAACAATGCATCAAAACGACTGTTGAAACAGGTGCCCTCTCAAACAACAATTCACTCAAAACGACTATCGAAACACTCGTCAACCATGAACCAGTCCCAAGGGCCCTTCCTCTCACGAAGAACACCTATATTATCATGAACCAGCCCATTGTGCGAAATAGCCACTGGTCCGCTAGCCCGTGGGTGGTGAAAATCCAGTCGGGCCAGTAAATCTCCACAGTGACTGGTCCGACTGGCTAGTGAATTTTCAGGGGGTCATTTTGTAAATATGTCACTCTCTGCGACTTGTTAAGTTATAATACATTTTTAAATCATGCAAGATTATGGTCTGGTAAAAATGTTCATCATATTAGCAGCTTAATGACGACTAATTTGAGCATAAACAAAATATTTCAGACACGTGTTTTCATATTTCTTTTTGATTGTATTTTACATTTTTTGTAATCTTTGTTTAGTTTCTACATTCAAATGTCGGGCTAGTGAATTGTGTTGTGGGCTAGTAACTTTCAAGCATAGCTAGCCCGACTGGCGAGAAAAAATTGGAAACTATTTCGCACACTGAACCAGCCCTAAGCATCCATTCTCATATAAAACAACACCTCTTAATCATGAACCAGTCTCAAGAGCACAACCTCTCACGAAACAACACCTGGTAATAATGAACAAGTCACAAGAATGCATCCTCTCATAAGACAACACCTGTTAATTATGAACCAGTTCCAAGTGTCAGTCCTCTCACTGTGGCGATATAAGTCAGTGAAGCGGCTGTACAATATCCCCTGAAGTGTACATGGATAACGGTTCGGGACAGATCACATTCATAGCTACACCTTCACACACACTCGAGTTTGAATATATTATTAGTTCAAGTGTGTCCCACCTTACCACATATAAGTAGAACACCGCATGAATCATCACATTATAGTGAACGCTGTGTCATCGAGACTACCTCGCCTACTAGTACATGGATATAGTACATAGATATAGTACAAAAACATAACAATAAGTTCTTCACAATCCATAAAACATATGATTATTAAACTGAAATTTTGACATTTTAAAAAGCTTTGTAAAATCATAACCCATCATGTTCAGCTGTCAATTTAACACACCCGATCTGAAAGGAGATCACTGAACAGCAAGAATTACCTTTTGAGAAAACCGGTTCTACTACTCTGTCCAAACTGTTATAAAAAAAACCAGGGTAAAACTCTGCTATGTGACTGTCAGTTATTTATGAGCTTGCACAAACATAACTGTGAATCTCTGCAGACTACAGCTGGGTGTTTGCTAGTGTCTTGACATAAGTAAATACTCGGAGATTTCCGATGAAAGCCGAGTGATTCAATGCATTGTGGAGACAAAACCGAGGTAAAGGTCCACGTGCATGTTCGGTGTGATTGCACTTGCGACAAAAGTTCTTTCTTTACAAATAACTCTGTGTAACATTACAAACTGTGATTTGAATACGGCTATGCAGTATGTAACGATTTACGCTTTCGGTAAACAACCGAGAGATAACTGTTAAGGCTTTTAACTCCATACAACTGTAGCGTTGTCTGATACAGAGCCTGGTAGTAGACTCAGTGTAGACAATATGTATGTGGTCGTGGTCTCACCAAAGATGGAAACGTCTCATAAATATTTTCACTTATTGCTGTTCTCTCATATGTAGTTGGTACACAGTGACGTAACGAAAATTCGCCCGCGCGATATACACTCGCTTGCTCAAACGCATGACCAACCAACCAGTCACTCACTCATTCGCCATTCACGACAAATATACGTACATGTATAAGATAAAAATGAAAAATGTCAATATTTTGTGGATTTCTTCATGTATACATATAGTTTGTGAAAAATGTGTGTAAGGTGTAAAAATGTACAGACGTATTTATCTTTTATAAAGTAATGCACAAGATCGGTACTGTACTTTTATTCTAAACTAAACTAAACTAAACTAAACTGAAGTTAAGGGAACTGAACTAAACTACACTAAACTAAGAGATCAGTTCTGAACTAAACTACTTTAAACTAGAGTAACCTAAACTAAACTAAACTAAACTGAACTGAACTGAACTGAACTGAACAGAACTGAGCTGAGCTGAGCTGAGCTGAGCTGAGCTGACCTGAGCTGACCTGAACTGAACTAAACGTGACTGTCCTTTGGGGTCATTTCTGTACTTCAATTCCAAACTAAACTAAACTAAACTAAACGTGACTCTCCTTGAGATTGAATCCCAAACTCAAGTGCAGCAATATGCTTTCTAAGCAATGTCAGCATGTACCCGCTCCACCGCGACCATGACCCAGATACCCCTACCTTTCAACAAAGACTCTATCATACTCATGTAAACAGCCTATACAGACCAATAGACAGACTACAAGTCTGTACCGAGCCTCGTCTAGCGCAACAAAAGGGACGACAAAACAGGGGCTGCCAAAACAGCCACATATACACAGTATTGAGTCGAGGAGACTTCCCCTGATTGAAGTAATCTAGGCACATAGCATTGTGTAGCTGGGGTCTGTCACGTGGTGTCAGGGGTAAGGGGTATTGAGGGATGTCAGTTGGGAAGGAGTCTTGGTCGGGACAGGCTGCTGAAACAGAACCTCCGTGATGAATCGCATGTATGAACACTGTCGCCCGGGGATACGTGGAGAGGCCGTGGACGTGAGGGGTGAGTGGATGAGGGAGGTGTGGGTGGGGATTGGGTGGGGTAGGTAGGAAACGTGAGACAATAGTATACAATGCTAATGTAATGTGCATGTATAAGAAGGGAGCTGTGAAAGACAAGGATCAGGTTGAATCAGCTTTTGCGCATTAGATACAGGTGAGATAAGTAAGTAAGAATTAAGCTTACATGCCTGAAATATAAGTGAGATATTAGTATTAAGGTCTAATAACCTTGCGTGCAGTGATGCAAGTGAGATAAGTAAGTCTTAAGGTGAATTAAGGCTACATGCCTGAAATATAAGTGAGATATTAGTGTATGGTCTAATAACCTTGCGTGCAGTGATGCAAGTGAGATAAGTAAGTCTTAAGGTGAATTAAGGCTACATGCCTGAAATATAAGTGAGATATTAGTATAAGGTCTAATAACCTTGCATGCAGTGATGCAAGTGAGATAAGTAAGTCTTAAGGTGAATTAAGGCTACATGCCTGAAATATAAGTGAGATATTAGTATAAGGTCTAATAACCTTGCGTGCAGTGATGCAAGTGATATAAGTAAGTCTTAAGGTGAATTAAGGCTTAAGCTTACATGCCTGAAATATAAGTGAGATATTAGTATAAGGTCTAATAACCTTGCGAGCAGTGATGCAAGTGGGATAAGTAAGTCTTAAGGTGAATTAAGGCTACATGCCTGAAATATAAGTGAGATATTAGTATAAGGTCTAATAACCTTACGTGCAGTGATGCAAGTGAGATAAGTAAGTTTTAAGGTGAATTAAGGCTACATGCCTGAAATATAAGTGAGATATTAGTATAAGGTCTAATAACCTTGCATGCAGTGATGCAAGTGGGATAAGTAAGTCTTAAGGTGAATTAAGGCTACATGCCTGAAATATAAGTGAGATATTAGTATTAGGTCTAATAAACTTGCGTGCAGTGAAACGTGCCTGGGATACACTGAGATAGATATGTTTTAGGTGGAATAAACTTTCATGCGTGATATAAAAGTGGAGAGCATAGATCCATCCTCTAGACACCGGAGGTGGTGATTCAAGATGATTGTGTTAAGCCTTGTTTGACAGTGGTTAAAATGACACAAACAAGAAGCGATATTTCGGTGGCGATGTAGTTACTACATACATCAAGGTTGTGTTGCAGTGTTTCGGAGACTCTTTTCAGTATAGTGACGGATGCAATTTTGTAAAAACCATTTCTTTGCCCGGCAATTTATGCTATACCACTAGTGAACATACCGCCTTTGTAAAACCTTGTGATGCTATGTGACTAAACTTAGAGCAAAAGAAGAGTCATTGTTACCATGACGTCAGAATGGAATGACATCACAAATCGACTACCACTGAACCTGGTTACCTGTACGTGTTTTAACTCAAGTGAGTGAGTTTAGTTTTACGCCACACTCAGCAATATTCCAGCAATATGGCGGCGGTCTGTAATAATCTAGTCTGGACCAAACAATCCAGTGATCAACAGCATGAGCATCAATCTGCGCAATTGGGATACGATGACATGTGTCAACCAAGTCAGCGAGCCAGGCCACCCGATCCCGTTAGTCGCATCTTACGACAAGCGTGGGTTACTTTCTAACCCTGATCTTCACGGGTCTATAACTCAAGACAATGGGTAGTACTGTTAAATAATTGAAAGCCAGGGAGCTTCAAACGTTTATATTCGAGTTGATATATGTGACATTGACACTCCGGTATGATTGTTTTTATCAATTAACGTCAGTCCAGGCGGTGGGGTATCCAAGTAGTTACTGGAAACAAGGACAAGTTGGACCGGCGCAGAGAACGAGTTTACCAGAAGTAAGCGGTGCACGGCAATCAGCTAACCCATTTGGTTTGTGAAAGGTAGAGCAGATGTTGGCTAGTGCACGTGCATTACATGACGATGAAATTGATTACGCGCGTAGCTGCACACGCCTTGCTCGTAAGACTCTCACGTCGGTGTAGCAAGTTACACTACACTTGATCGCGGACAACCTGGGGCCCCTTCGCTAAGAATGGCAAGCGCCAGTGTGCGGCACTCATACATGCTAACACAGGTCAATTGTCAGGTCGGTGCTCAACTTACCCTTGTTTGCCAGTAGAGCGTTCGCTCGTCACGCCAAAGACCCGGGTTCGATTTCCCACATGGGGGACAATGTGAGAAGCCCATGGCCATTGCTGTGACCCCGCCGTGATGTTGCTAGCATATTGCTAAAGGCTGCATAAAACCTTACCCACTCACTACAACCAATCCATCACAAAAGAAAGCCTTATTCGTGAATGTATAAAGCTTCAGTGTACACATTTGTACTCCGTATGACCCTCATACCAGGGCAATTGTATTCTCTGCGTGTTGTGTCGTATCTATGTTTACATTTATACCCCATGTTGCGTCCTACACGGTCCTCCCCTATATCTCAATGTTCTACAACAGTGGTTTTACTATAAGGGAACACGATTACCTACAGTTCTCACAAAGGATATCGCTGTTTTATCGTATTTTGGCATACTTGGTACTTGGTTTCTTTATACCCAATTTCTATACCACTCGTCAACCGTAAGCACTATCGACACGTTTCATCAAGAGTAATTCGAATGCTTTTGTGAACATTTCACTGTGTAGTAATAGCCAAATAATTATCCAACGCCCGGTAATGATAAAAGAGTGAATGTATTTCACGCTGCTATAAGCAATATTAGGGTCATATCACTAGGGGGATTAAAAAATGGACTTCAAGCGCATCTAACCCGCATCTAATCGAACGCAGAATTGTGGACGCTTTATCTGCTAAACTGCTCCAGAAAGTCCCAGTAACTGACACAGAAGTTTCCTCATTTTCTTAGTATATCACCCTGAGCTTGTAGACGAACTCTTAATCTATGTATTTTTGATAGAAATAAATAACAACAAATGGAAGAAGTCTGCGAGTAGGGAGATTCATAGGAAAATCTAGACTTGCTTTATTTAGTGTTTTTGCATTACAGTAAAGACTGGGTGGAAGGGAATTACGGTTCTGGGCCTGTAAGCCCACTCCGTCGTCAAATGGTACGGGTTCGAGTGCTGTTATTTTATTAACCGTCTAAATCCTGTTGCGTCCGAATATATTAAGCATTTATAATTTAGTTGCGATTACAATTAGAAGGAGGTTTCCCTGTCCATAGCATCCTACGTTTTTCTTAAAACTTATCATTTATATCCCATTGTCCATTGTGCTAAATAGCATGGATCTAGTCCCTGCAAGGGCATTTCATACCTAAATGAAGACAATTGCCTGGGTACACGAGGATGGGATTTGGTGTCAATACTATTTACCGGGCTAATTCCGCCCGAAAATATCCAAGTCCTGTGCATCCATATATTTTCAATGACACCAACTGTTAGCAAACGTGATAGCTGTGAATGCGGACTAAATTTACGAAAACTACCAACATCGTTTTTAGGCCATGTAGCAGGCTCTTTATATGCTTGTATTGTTTGACCCTGGGTGTGCCATCATTAAATACCTCAGTTTTGAGGGAATGACTGAGCGTGGACTGGTGGCATGTTTGGGGGCGCGGACTCACTATGTACACAGTTTAAAGAGTGTGTGCAGTGGATTGACTGAAACTAGTACTCACTGACTCAAAGAAGTCATTATTGATACGTATTTGGTTGACATAGCGAGCTCGCTTATTACAAACTGACACATCGAACGGGGTTTTCACGACCATTTGCTGTGTATTATAGTCGAAATGCGAATGCGAAGTAGGGTTATAACGAACAACAATTTGTGATCTTGTTGAATTCGGCACACACCGTAGTTTACTGTATTTCGTGACAACAGAAGTACTGACATGCGACGATGGGCTGTAAACGGTGAATGAGTTTAGTTTTCCGCCGCATTCAGCAATATTCCAGCTATATGGCGGCGGTCTGTAAACAATCGAGTCTTGACCAGACAATCCAGTGATCAACAACATGAGCATCGATCTGCGCAACTGGGAACAGATGACGTGTGTCAACCAAGTCAGCGAGCCTGACAACCCGATCCCGTTAGTCGCCTGTTACGACAAGCATGGGTTACTGAAGATCAATATTCTAACCCGGACCTTCACGGATACGATACATGTACTGTAAGTAATGTAGTAGAGCAGTGACGATTGTTTAAACCTCAGCATATTGAATAACGTCAGCTGTGAGAATAACGGGACTCCTCTGTGCGTGGGTTACAGGTAGCGGGTTAACGGGTGTGACGTATGTGGCGTGGCGTGCTAAGGATGGACTAGGAATAGAGAGAAGAGTTCTAAAGACAGAAATACTTAACGGTGTAGAGTAGTGGGTAAACAACATGATGTAACGTGCTAGTTTGCTTGATCCTAATGACACTGATTAATCTCTGCCCTAACCATCGTTGCTTGAGCGCGCTCGGTGCGTCTAAGTAAAATACAAACTTTGCAAACACTTGAAAACATTTAACTGTAAAGAAATACCAGTGTGCAGATAAGTGGATATTTATGCTGCAGTTGAGTCTGTGTACATATTATACATAGGTCTGGCTGTATATGAAATAAGTGTTACATTCGGTAATCATTGTACATTGTGATTCATCATTTATAATCTGGGGGAGTGTGGGGGTGTATCGCAGATTTTGTAAGAGAATTGTTTATGTTTTCACAAAGCATGTCTTTAAAGGAGACATGTCCAGCGAACAGTGAGGTAGAGGCCCTTTAAAACAAGAAATGAGTTATTTTATGTATATTTTTCTCATGCTATTTTGTTGTAAAACGGGTACACGTAGTCTGTTCTTGAGGCGCACGGCTGACAAGACGTATAGAATAAGAACAATTTACTGCAGAAATATATCCTTTGATATTGACAGAACCATGCTGTTTGTATCAAAATGATGTAGTTTTTCAAACCTGTCTAGTGAATTTTTTAGAGGTATAGAAACATGTAAAAAGTATGATGGAAAGTCAAACGAAAATATCATGGGACAATCATGGCAAAACTTGCCTCATTTGCTTTAGGGTTCAACACTTGTCTCACATTATACAAACGCATTTTGATGTAAAAACTTACGTTTCAGCTAATACAACGACATCGTGTTTATCCCACATTTGAAATTTTGGTTCGGTTTGGTTCCAATTTCAAAATAACCTTTCAAATATCCAGGTCACATTTCTTTTTAATACGTAGACTGACTCTCACACGAAGACCTCCTAAATGTGTCACTTGTTTTTCAGTCTGTTGTTTTTATGCAGTAAAAGAAGTTTCAGTGAATTTTCACAGCATGTTTCCTCTTTGTTTTAGCAATGATGCGGGCCTGTAGAACGGGAGAACAACCTCCGTCTGGGCTATGGAAGTTTTCTGGTGTGGTCTTGGAGATTGCCTTCTTCAAGGACGAGAAGGTGGCGGGAGGTGGCACCGACAGCGTGGGAGACTACTACATCTCGGGTACGTGGGGAGGTGCGGGTGTGAAGTTCGTCATCCACTACACAGGCAAATACGATGTCACCTACAACGGGAAATATGCTGACAGCAAGATCACAGGTACGTGTGTCAAGAGCCAAGGGGGTTCCAGTTCACCCTTTGAGTTGATATATTGTGGAAAGGATGCAAAGGTCACTCCGAAGCCTGGTCAGTGGTCAGGACACCTCTGTCGAGCTGGAGTCACTCAGATGTTCAGTATAGACTTTGAATTTGGAGATCCTCCGTACAAGTTTATAACTGGACGTGGCAAAGATGAGAATGGCAACTTCCGAATCAAAGGACGCCTTGAAGGACGAGGGATTCGTCTGATACGTCACAACGTCGTCTACTACGGCCTGATGAACGAATCGGGAACAGAGGTTGTTGGGATGTTCCTGGATTCAGGTGGATGTTGGGTGGAAGGAAGATTCGTCCTGAAGATCGGTGGAGGCAGTGTTGTTCCTTCTGGAGGAGGAGCTTCTGATCAACCAACTAGTGGAGTCTGGTTCTGGTTCCTGAGTGGCCGCCCTGAGTATCGCTGCTACCTTCAGCTGATGTTTGTGACTGGGAAGGTGTCTGGTAATGGCAGAGACGAGACTGGATACTTCACCTTGACAGGGACATGGAGCGGACCCAAAATCACCTTCACGAAGAGCACAACCTCGGTAACATACACCGGCACCATCACTCCAGGAGCCAACGTCATCAGTGGCCAAAACCCAGATGGTGGAACATTCGACATTGCTTTCTTCATGGAATTTGAACTCCCAGAATTCCCCTACCAGTTTCCAAACAAAGATGTTTCCAGTGGGCAGCAATGTGCCATGAAGCTCTTCCAGGAGATACAGATCTGGTTGTCAAGGAGACGCACGCTTATCCAAGAGTTCCGCATCCTTATCCAAAAGATTGAACAAGCACAATCTGGAAGCCTTTCTGTCCAGTTTCCAGGGGATATTGTGGACGTCAATGAGCTGATAACCGTCGCGATTAGTCTGTTGGCGTTGCTGAGTGGAGGTGGAGCTGCATCTGCTCTGTTGCTGAGATTTGGCCGAAAGACTGACATGGTTTCCTTCACAAGCGATGCATTTAAAGGCGCATCAAAGATCCTGGAAGCATACAAGTCAGCTGCGGACGCTGAGACGTTGAAGGACTTGGTCGAGGAGGATGTCATCTCCTCCAGAATCATTTACTATCTTATCGACACTCTCTGGGACATCTCTGGAGTACTGAACACCCAGTGCAAGGTTGACATATCAGTGAAGAGGATTGCGAAAGGTTTCCTGTTCCAAGCAGCTACAGGAATTGATATCATCAGTTTCGCCTTCCCTGATGAATATGCAGCTCCTCTATTGACAGCTCCTGAGTTTGATCATGGAAAGTTAGGTGAAATAGAATCAGCTTTACTAGAATGTATTGGGAAAATCACCGAGATGAACAAAGACGCCACGGGCAGGGTTGGAGGGTCTGTTGGAGTTGCAATCAAATTAAAAGACATACAAGAAGCCCTGGAGGACCTGGATGATGCATCACCCTCTGTCTTCAGGAAATGCCTGGATAGATGCATCGTTGTTCTGGAACAGAAGATGGACATATATGTCTCTCTGCAAAAGAAGACCGAGACATATTTTGAAGAGCGGGAGACTATCAGCTCTAAATTGTCTGTGGAGACGGTGATAACTGTAGAGTTTATCAATGAAGTAATATCTGTCCTTAAAGACTTTAACCCACAATGGTGTCAAGCTGTGGAAGAAAAAGGCCTTCAGGAAGTATTTGCGTTAACCATGACCAAAGTCTTTCCCGCAATCAGACAGAAGACAAACATGATGATGAGCAGCTATCGGCCTGGTGGTTCGGACGCGCCAGTTGACATACTCGACATTGTTATTGTCGGTGAAGCAGCTGTAGGTCTACCTGCTTTCAAGAGAGATCTGTTGTTCCCTGTTCCAACTCTACAGGATGTTGTACTCTACCAACCATACGGCTCTACCATAAACCAATCAACAATACTTGGCATTGCGTCCGGCTCTATTAGACCAGGATGCCGACAGACGTCATCCAGTGTCGACCTACCGCAATCCTGGAACTCCCTACTTTCTGGACAAACTGAATTGATTCCATCAATCTACCTTGACCAGGCTGTTATTGACGAAGTCACATTCACTGAGCTTAAGGATCTTCTTCAGCAGTTCCCAGAGGATGTCCAGAGAAACCGCATCATCATCCCCTTCTTCACCTCCTCGGAAGCGGACTCTCTGCCCCCAGTTCCTCTCTGGTTGTTGACCTCGGCCTGCTCTGTGGCGGGGATGGTCAGCGGGGTCAATGTCCGCGTCCATCTCGCCACCAGCCTCACCGCCCCGGACCCCACCCCAGAGTTACAGACGCTGTGTCAAAGCCAGTACAGCTTCGCCCAGACGGCCATGACCTGTGACGTCGCTCAGCTCCACCTCGAGGGCGTCAACACCAACTGGCTCAATCACTTTATGCAGAGTGAAACTCTCTCGAGCTTTTTCTCAAGTAAGTTGTACAGCACATGCTATTTAAAACTCGCTGACAAAAGAAACTTGGCTCATTATTTTGTCTTGTGTCCATATTCTTTGGTGCTTTGTGATTTATAAATACATGTATATGTACAGACGTACGTATGTGCGTGCGTGCGTGCTTTTATTAGGCAAAATTTTATCATTTGCACTGTAATGCATTTATAGGCTCAGTCTCTTTTGTCAGTGAGTATACTCTTCAGCTTCTCTAACAATGCTTCATATGTTGAATTTTCGAAGCGTCCGTTAAATACTCTGCTACTCTTACCTATCCAAAGTTATGTGTTGATACATGGCATTCTATTGCGTAATCGTACACGCATATTTCAATCAATCATAATTAACGACGATTCATTTTTTTTGCATATAACAACATTGAGTAATCTGTCTGTATATCGCTACGCATGTTTCAGACATTTGTACATGTTTATAACAGGCTCTACCACTCGCACAAGCAACATGTCGTTCGAAGGAGGCGTGATCCGGATAACAACTACTACTACAACGACCTATCAAGGGTAGATAACTCAACGGTAATGGGAGAATCAGCAACTGACAATCTCGTTCTTACCACGCGTAAAATGGAATGCAATGCCTTTGTAATTTTAGACAGTGATGTTTTGATACGTAGAAAATAGTCCATCTATGCCTTGACTGAGAACGATCACTTAGTCTTCAAGTGGAGGAGGCTGGGTTTGTTTTGTTTTTGTCGTTGTTGTTTCTCTGAAGGGAAATGTACCTGGGCCAGATTTTCGAAGCTCTCTTAGCGCCAGGATCGTCGTAAGTGCCATACATTAATAATAACTTACGACTATCTTAGCGCTAAGAGAGCTTCGAAACTCTAGGCCCTAGAATAAGACATACTTCCTGGACATGTCCCGCAAATGGCCGGCTTTTTTCTCTTTGAGAGTAGTTTTTGTTTCAATCCGTGACTGAAAACATATCCAACGTCCCCGGCTGACGCCAATGAGTGAGTGAGTAAGTTGTGTTTTACGCCGCTTTTAGCAATATTCCAGCAATATGACTGCAGGGGACACCAGAAATGGGCGTGACACATTGTACCCATATGGGGAATCGAACCAGAGGCTTCGGCGTGACCAGCGAACGCTGTAATCATTCTGAAGCTGTAGAAATGGACCTTCAGAGACCTCTCGCTTTCCAAGATTAATTTGCGTGTCTCAAGCCTTTCCACAAAACAAGTTTTTACCCTTGCCATTCAAGCCTTGCTTGCTAAGGTATGGGTATAGTCGTGTTTCACTCGAACGACTTAACGCAGTGACTGGGATGCAGTGCTATTTTTAGACGACTTCTGCTGAGCGTTTCATGTTGCCGCGATTTCCGCGTTACTTGACGCTGTGTAATCTCAGAAAGCAGTTTACAGAGCGAAATGCGGCAGTACGCATCCTAATTTATCAATTTGTACCTGTTAGGGATGATCGACGGGGTTGTCCCTTACGGCAGACAACTTTGTGAAGACATTGATTATAAGAAACAGCGATCTGATTGGATATCGCATATTCATTAAAATGGACATAGCTCGTGTTCTACACAGGATGGCGGCACGAAAACGAGGCTTGAAATACCTAGGGTGAAAACGAGGCTTCGATAGAGACAAGTGGATTCTCTTGCCGCTGGAAGATTTTATGATAATTAATCTGGCTGCATCCCTTCTCCAGAGTGTCTATGTGTTCCACCTCCAATGTGTCAGTGAAGTCGATACTGTAAGGAAATAGTTTCATCAAGGTCAAGGTCGACAGAGAGACGTATTCATAATGGCAGCAACTTTCAGACTGAATCTGTAACGTTCAACTTGTTTTGTATTATTTACCGATGTTGGTTTACATGTAGTTATATGTTTACAAAATATTGCTTGTTTTAATATATACATCCAACTTAATGTAGATTTAGATTTACATTATACTGCTTTTGTTTAATGTATACTAGTAATTCTACTGGAATAAATATTGTAATACAATACCCTCAGTTTGTGTGTTTCTTGTACGCCCATCCACACGTAATTGTATATAAACTGACGCATAAAAGAAAGTACACACCTGGTGCTGTGGGATTATTGTTTTAAAAAACAACAACGTAAAGTCCCAAACATTGTTGTCAAAACACCACAGATATATTCTACAAAAGTTGTGCGTGGGGTTACACATATCGAGGTCATGCCTGCAGAGCGGCAGGCTGGGAGTTCGATTCTCGGCCGCTTCAGACCAACCCACTTTAAAGTAGTACTTGTTGTTACCCTGGCTGGAGCTAAAATAATTAATTTATAAAACAAGGACTGGTTGACTCAGCATCAGTATACCGGGTCTGAGTTGGGTATTCATCTTAAAACTGCGACATGATGTGCCAGTGGGCTTGCACAAAGTATAGCGGCATTAGTCCACACGCGCGCACACGCACCCACACGCCCACACACGCATTCGCATGCACGTCGTTATGTAAGTGCAATAACCTTGAACAAGACGTTAAACCTTACCTAACCTCACCTCACCTAACCTCACGTACGGGATGTTACGTGGAACGTCATTTCTATCGACACTGTATCATTATTACGACGAATTATTACGACGACATTATTACACAGAATATATTCGTATGACAAAGAATACAGACGTGTTGACACCCATCAAATTCATTGATGTGAGCGAGCTTTCTCTTTGCTCACGATGCATTCCCGTCCCGTCTTTGAAACTACTTGACCGCCTCCGTGGTGTAGTGGTTAGAGCGTCCGCCCGGAGAGCGGAAGGTCGCGGGTTCGATCCCCGACCGCGTCATACCAAATGACGTTACAATATGGTACTTGTTGGTCCCTGCCTGGCGCTCAGCATTAATGGGTACAAAAAGGACTGGTCGGCTCGGAGTCAGTATAATGTGTCTGAGTGGGGTATTCCTGCTTCACTGCGGCATGGTATCTGAGTGGGCTAGCACTATAAAACCAGCTTCAGTCTGGGCTAGTACAAGCAGCCGCACATACACATACACACGCATGCACGTCGTCATATGAGCGAAATATTCTCAAGCACGACGTTAAACCCAATTTCACCTCACCTCACCTTTGAAACTACTGCATAGCTACTACTGCATGGCGAAGTGAACGCGTCTATTGATTCCTGATACAGTAGGGAGCAGGATCTCAGACGGTAACAGAACTAGGTGTGAAATCAACAATCAAGAAAGAGATGGGATGTAATTAACAATTGTATTCCAAAATTAACTTGGTTTGGAAATTTATACAAATCACAACACATGTATTACAGTGGCAGTACAGGCAATATAATATAAATGCAGGGGTTATAGCAATAAAGACACTGATGGTAATATTCATCTCACCACAATAGTCAAGCTTCCACAATAGGCCCAGAAGGAGTATCCACGGTAAGAATTACCTCCACACAATTGCTGGTCTTCTTGTAACTTGACATGTTTTTGTGAGATGATATGCGAGAGTTAGCTTCCTTTATATACCATAGAGAAATATAGCACAAGTCTAAATATACCTCACGATTGACCCTAACTGACTATACACGTATACAATTTTTGCCAATGTGGGCACCACGTGTCACTCACTCATAACCACATAAGGAAAATGGATAACATGTATTAAATGGATGCCTTAATAAACATCTACTGCTTTTATTAAAGGTTCACCATAGTTTATTTATATTTGCCCTTCGACTCATATTGTTTCTGTGGTTGATACATACATGCATACTAATGTCTTTCCTGGTGTTTATCTATGTCATATCAGTCCTGGACTAATGTCTTTCCTGGTGTTTATCTATGTCATATCAGTCCTGGACTAATGTCTTTCCTGGTGTTTATCTATGTCATATCAGTCCTGGACTAATGTCTTTCCTGGTGTTTATCTATGTCATATCAGTCCTGGACTAATGTCTTTCCTGGTGTTTATCTATGTCATATCAGTCCTGGACTAATGTCTTTCCTGGTGTTTATCTATGTCATATCAGTCCTGGACTAATGTCTTTCCTGGTGTTTATCTATGTCATATCAGTCCTGGACTAATGTCTTTCCTGGTGTTTATCTATGTCATATCAGTCCTGGACTAATGTCTTTCCTGGTGTTTATCTATCCTTCACCAATGTCATATCAGTCCTGGACTACTGTCTTCTTCCTGGTGTTTATCTATGTCATATCAGTCCTGGACTAATGTCTTCCCTGGTGTTTATCTATGTCATATCAGTCCTGGACTAATGTCTTTCCTGGTGTTTATCTATGTCATATCAGTCCTGGACTAATGTCTTTCCTGGTGTTTATCTATGTCATATCAGTCCTGGACTAATGTCTTCCCTGGTGTTTATCTATGTCATATCAGTCCTGGACTAATGTCCTTCCTGGTGTTTATCTATGTCATATCAGTCCTGGACTAATGTCTTTCCTGGTGTTTATCTATGTTATCTATCTATGTCATATCAGTCCTGGACTAATGTCTTTCCTGGTGTTTATCTATGTCATATCAGTCCTGGACTAATGTCTTTCCTGGTGTTTATCTATGTCAAAACAATCCTGGACTAATGTCTTTCCTGGTGTTTATCTATGTCATACCAGTCCCTGGACTTTATCTATGTCTTAATCCTGGTGTTTATCTATGTGAAACCAGTCCTGGACTAATGTCTTTCCTGGTGTTTATCTATGTCATATCAGTCCTGGACTAATGTCTATCCTGGTGTTTATCTATGTCATATCAGTCCTGGACTAATGTTATCTCAGGTGTTTATCTATGTCATATCAGTCCTGTACTAATGTCTTTCCTGGTGTTTATCTATGTCATACCAGTCCTGGACTAATGTCTTTCCTGGTGTTTATCTATGTCATACCAGTCCTGGACTAATGTCTTTCCTGGTGTTTATCTATGTCTAACCAGTCCTGGACTAATGTCTTTCCTGGTGTTTATCTATGTCAAACAATCCTGGACTAATGTCTTTCCTGGTGTTTATCTATGTCATACCAGTCCTGGACTAATGTCTTTCCTGGTGTTTATCTATGTCATATCAGTCCTGGACTAATGTCTTTCCTGGTGTTTATCTATGTCATATCAGTCCTGGACTAATGTCTTTCCTGGTGTTTATCTATGTCATACCAGTCCTGGACTAATGTCTTTCCTGGTGTTTATCTATGTCATATCAGTCCTGGACTAATGTCTTTCCTGGTGTTTATCTATGTCATATCAGTCCTGTACTAATGTCTTTCCTGGTGTTTATCTATGTCATACCAGTCCTGGACTAATGTCTTTCCTGGTGTTTATCTATGTCATACCAGTCCTGGACTAATGTCTTTCCTGGTGTTTATCTATGTCATATCAGTCCTGGACTAATGTCTTTCCTGGTGTTTATCTATGTCATACCAGTCCTGGACTAATGTCTTTCCTGGTGTTTATCTATGTCATATCAGTCCTGGACTAATGTCTTTCCTGGTGTTTATCTATATCATACCAGTCCTTGACTAATGTCTTTCCTGGTGTTTATCTATGTCATATCAGTCCTGGACTAATGTCTTTCCTGGTGTTTATCTATATCATACCAGTCCTTGACTAATGTCTTTCCTGGTGTTTATCTGTGTCATATCAGTCCTGGACTAATGTCTTTCCTGGTGTTTATCTATGTCAAAACAATCCTGGACTAATGTCTTTCCTGGTGTTTATCTATGTCATACCAGTCCTGGACTAATGTCTTTCCTGGTGTTTATCTATGTCATACCAGTCCTGGAACTAATGTCTTTCCTGGTGTTTATCTATGTCATACCAGTCCTGGACTAATGTCTTCCCTGGTGTTTATCTATGTCATATCAGTCCTGGACTAATGTTATCTCAGGTGTTTATCTATGTCATATCAGCCATGGTCCAATATCAGCACTGTGGTTTATATATGTCATATCAGTCCTGGACTAATGTCATCTCTGGTGTTTACATATGTCATATCATCCATGGTCTAATATCATCACTGTGGTTTATATATGTCATATCATCCATGGTGTAATATCATCAATGTGGTTTACATATGTCATATCATCCATGGTCTAATATCATCACTGTGGTTTATATTTGTCATATCAGTCATGGTCTAATATCATCACTGTGGTTTATATATGTCACATCAGACATGGTCTAATATCATCACTGTGATTTATATATGTCACATCTGACATGGTTTAATATCGTTACTGTGTATATATGTCATATAAGCCATGGTCTAATATCACCACTGTGGTTTATATATGTCACATCAGACATGGTCTAATATCATCACTGTGGTTTATATATGTCACATCAGACATGGTCTAATATCATCATTGTGGTTTATATATGTCATATCAACCTTGGTCTAATATCGTTACTGTGTATATATGTCATATCATCCATGGTCTAATATCATCACTGTGGTTTATATATGTCACATCAGACATGGTCTAATATCATCACTGTGGTTTATATATGTCACATCAGACATGGTCTAATATCATCACTGTGGTTTATATATGTCATATCAACCATGGTCTAATATCGTTACTGTGTATATATGTCACATCAGAGATGGTCTAATATCATCACTGTGGTTTATATATGTCACATCAGAGATGGTCTAATATCATCACTGTGGTTTATATATGTCACATCAGACATGGTCTATTATCATCACTGTGGTTTATATATGTCACATCAGAGATGGTCTAATATCATCACTGTGGTTTATATATGTCACATCAAACATGGTCTAATATCATCACTGTGGTTTATATATGTCACATCAGACATGGTCTAATATCGTTACTGTGTATATATGTCATATCATCCATGGTCTAATATCATCAATGTGGTTTATATATGTCACATCAGAGATGGTCTAATATCATCACTGTGGTTTATATATGTCACATCAGACATGGTCTAATATCATCACCTTGGTTTACATATGTCACATCAGACATGGTCTAATATCATCACCTTGGTTTACATAGGTCATGTCAGTCCTTGACTAATGTCTTATCTGTGGTTTAGATCTACGACATCGTACTTCATTAATTACCTGTGTGTGTATGTGTCAGATCAGTCCTGGGATGATATCACCTCAGTGGTATATATGTATTATTCCGGTTGGGAAAGTATTAATATTTCATATCATATAACCCTGATTGTCCATATATAATAATAATAATAATAATGAATTTATATAGCGCATTAATCCATGCTCAATGCATGCTCTAAGCGCACATATGTGTGGGTATTAAGAGTCATTCTAGAAAGGCAGTATTAAATAAGTAGGTTTTTAGCTGAGATTGGAAGAAGGCAAGAGTTGAAGACTGTCTGAGATTGAGTGGGAGATTGTTCAACAATATAATCTCAGATGAGTCTTCTTTGAAGTAAGGTCTATTTTTACGGCTTAGCGGATCTCTGGTTCACGGTCAGAAGAGAAAGAGGCTTGCTTCACACCAGGGCCAGGACGAGGACACAGAGGAGGACAATGCTGCTGAGGACAAATGCTGCTATGATGACTACGGTCTGGATGCGACTTCGTCGACGTTTTGACTTATCCAATGCAGCTTTCATCTGAAATGATCGAATATATTCTTCACACATCTTACGCTGCAACCAAATGCCGACTGAAAATGTTGGGGACAATATGCAACTTCATGAAAGCACGCAAACACACACGCACGCACGCACTCACATAATCGAATAACCATTTCTAGTTCGTTTCATCTCAGCAACCAACATGGGTGTATACTTTCGTTTGTCAGGCGGTTTACGTTGTACGAATATGCCCCCAAACAATTCCACAAGACAAAATGGACACAAGAAAGACAAAAGAAAAATTCTTATAGAAAGATGGACAACTGACTGTTTTGCTGTGTCGATTAGCTGTTTCGCCAGTCACAAAAGAGTTCCGAATGCAATATTCCGGCGACGAACTAATCGTCTCCCTGAGTCCAATCGAAAATTCACCGTCGATATATTTTAAAGGTGACGTAGAATAGTTGTTCTTCGCGTGATAACTCTGTCCATTCTCTGTGAACACACACATGGATTCCTGCTCATCGGAATCATCGGAATACAGAGAACATGCCGCATCCGAGTCCAAGTCTTCACAGGCACAATGCGAGATCACACGTGGTTCGGCGAGATCACCACACGAGGAACCAGCATCCATCTGCTGATTCCTATCAAACACATCATCCTTGAACTTATCCCTGTAGTCCATCATCTTGATCACCTCCAGATCATGAATCTGGCTGATTTCAACACTAGTTCGCCATCTAGTAGCCTCCCTTATATAGAGAACTGTAGGTTCTATTTAAAACCAGACCAGGAGTCCTTAAGCAATGAGGAAGTTCTACGTCTTTGTTCACTTATACTCCGATGCGTCGAGCGGTAATCACCTTCACAATACACTCTTAGGTCTGTTGATTCGTGCAAAGACAGACCTAACAATATTTTCAAAAGCCCTTGACACTTTATGAGTTATTTCAGTGACAAACCCATTTGTGGTCCATTCAGTTTTATTCCACAAGGAAGTTAGATCTGCCCCGTGTGTTGTGTTGGTCATACGATCCACCACATATGTTTCAGCTATGTGATATCAGATCATTAGCTTGGGTGTCGGACGCTATTGTTGGAGGGCGACTGAGCATATCGTACACTTCTACAGCACACATAAAAAATATGTCCGCCCACGCATGATTTATTATTGTGGTTTTAGAATTTTGAAGACTATTTCGTTTTTTAGACAGCTAAAAATGATGAATCATAAGACCTCTTTTTTTCAAACTTCAAATGCACCTTGTATTTTGTATGATTGTCGACAGTTTGCCAATCGTTTTTTTTTATTTGTTGTTTGTTTTTTGTTGTTCAATACCACACTCAGAAATATTCCTGCTATGCGACGTCGTTCTGTAAATTATCGAGTGTTTTACCTGACAATCACGTGATCAACATCATACTCATCGATTTTAGGATACGATGACAGTGTTAATCAAGCCAGTGAGCCTGACCACCCGATCCCGTTTGTCACCTCTTATGATAAGAATGGGTTGCTAAACACCTGTCATAACCAGAATCTTCAGGGACACGCATATCGTCGCTACTTAACTGAAAAATACGCTTGTCTGAAACATAAAATGGTAGAAAATAAGTTGCTGTTGTTTTGTTGCATGTATTTACACCATAACTTACCAGACATGCAAACAGTAGATGCAGACACATGCCAGACATACAACCACTACATATAGAACCATGCCAGACATACAACCACTAGTTACAGAACCATGGCAGGCAGAAAACCACTACATATAGAACCATGCCAGACATACAACCACTAGTTACAGAACCATACCAGGAAGAAAACCACTACATATAAAACCATGCCAGACATACAACCACTAGTTACAGAACCATACCAGACAGAAAACCACTACATACAGAACCATGCCAGACATACAACCACTACATATAGAACCATACCAGACATACAACCACTACATATAGAACCATACCAGACATAAAACCACTCGTTACAGAACCATGCCAGACATACAACCACTAGTTACAGAACCATACCAGGCAGAAAACCACCACATATAGAACCATACCAGACATACAACCACTACATATAGAACCATGCCAGAGATACAACCACTAGTTACAGAACCATGCCAGACATACAACCACTAGTTACAGAACCATACCAGGCAGAAAACCACCACATATAGAACCATACCAGACATACAACCACTACATATAGAACCATGCCAGAGATACAACCACTAGTTACAGAACCATGCCAGACATACAACCACTAGTTACAGAACCATACCAGACAGAAAACCAGTACATATAGAACCATGCCAGACATACAACCAGTACATATAGAACCATATCAGGCAGAAAACCAGTACATATAGAACCATACCAGACAGAAAACCACTACATATAGAACCATGCCAGAGATACAACCACTAGTTACAGAACCATGCCAGACATACAACCACTACATATAAAACCATGCCAGAGATACAACCACTAGTTACAGATCCATACCAGGCAGAAAACCACTACATATAGAACCATACCAGACATACAACCACTACATATAAAACCATACCAGACATACAACCACTAGTTACAGAACCATACCAGGCAGAAAACCACTACATATAGAACCATGCCAGACATACAACCACTAGTTACAGATCCATACCAGACAAACAACCACTAGTTACAGAACTATACCAGGCAGAAAACCACTACATATAGAACCATACCAGGCAGAAAACCAGTACATATAGAACCATGCCAGACATACAACCTCTACATATAGAACCATACCAGGCAGAAAACCAGTACATATAGAACTATGCCAGACATACAACCTCTACATATAAAACCATACCAGACATACAACCACTAGTTACAGAACCATACCAGGCAGAAAACCACTACATATAGAACCATACCAGACATACAACCACTAGTTACAGAACCATGCCAGAGATACAACCACTAGTTACAGAACCATAGCAGACAGACAGCTAGTAGTTACAGAACTATGCCAGGCAAAAATGAATAAAGTAATGCCGGAAATGCTTGGAAAATGCTTTTTGGCTTCAATATCAATATGATGAATTTGACACAAGATAAAAGTACAAATATGATACATGTACGACTCTACCTAGTTGGATATTAAAGCTCAGATGAAAAAATGCACTTGAGGGGTGACTTCACAGGAGGAAATTGTGACGTTTTAACAACATTTGTAAATATTGTAAGTACAAACTGTAGTTTTGAAATACAGACTATAATTCTTCATATAGTCTCAACTAATTGAATTACATGAATGATTGGAAATAGTTTTGTTTTTTTAACACCTATATGAGAAAAGATGGAACTCTTGTAGCAGTTATATTCAAAATAATTACATACAAACGTCTTAATTCAAATTGCATAGATAATCTTGTTCACCCGTAGAAGTTTCACTTCGTGTATGAGCACTGAACTGGCAACATGCGACTTGATATCTCTGCAGAACAATTAATTTCGAATTTATACCAGTATTTCATACTAGAGAAACAAAGGGAGAAACCTCTCGTCAGCTATGACAGGGTTTACTATAGAATGTGTAAAGCCCTTAATTTGACATATAGTCAGGTGTACAAAGTTGTAAACAAATCAGTTACCTCAGGGGTCGTGTCAAAATCAAAACCAGGTAGGAAACACAAACTGGATAGCTTTGATAAGGGTGTCATACGCCGTGCAGTTTATTAACTGTATGAACGCAAAGTCCCACCGACGTGTGCTAAAATACAAGACGAGATCAAAGATACAATAAATGTCTCGAAAACAACACTTATTGTAGCTCTGGTAGAAATGAGGTTCAGGTACACCAAAAGGGGAGATGACAGAGCTGTGTTTAGAGAAAAGTACTCAATCCTATCCATGCGATCGGCTTATCTCAGAACAGTTGAAGAGTACCGCAATTTGGGTTTTCAAATTATATACCTTGATGAAACCTGGTGTAATAAAAATCACTCAACCGGCTTCCTTCAGATTGTTCTAAGGCACCAGTGTTACCATCAGGCAAAGGTAGACGCCTGATCATCTTGCATGCTGATACCCGTAGCAAGGAACTGATTTGGGGTTGCGACTCTGTTTTTGAGGCCAAGAAATCTGATGGTGATTACCATAGCGAAATGAATGGGCAGGTATTTTTGTATTGGTTCGAACATCAGCTTTTACCGCAGCTGGACGAACCAAGCGTTATCATTTTGGATAACGCCAGTTGCCATAACCTGCGTGTCCCTGGTACCATCACACCCACCACGAGCAAACCCTAGGCTCAGTTGCTGGATTTTCTCACTTCCTGTAACGTGCCTTACAGACAATCAGAAACAAATCCCCAGCTCATGGACAAAAATCCGACAGCACGAAAAGTCAATCCAGTACATCACTGACGAACTAGCTGCAAAACAAGGCCACATAGTTCTGCGTATACCAGTACGGCACTGTGAGCTCAATCCCATCGAGCTGATCTGGGGTAACTGTGAGAGTTGTTTTGCTCGCAATAATACCACATTTAAGCTTTCAGACGTTAAAGAGCTTGTGTATGCTTCTTTTGCGAGAATTACCCCAGAAGTGTGGCAGGCTGAAGACCGCGTTCTTCAAATCGAAGGCGAATACCGTCTGCGGGACGGCGTTAACGTCAGCCGAGTTGCACCTGTTGTAATTCCTCTAGAGTCCTCAACCAGCAGGAATACTGACACTTGATATTTTGAGACGGTCCCTGACATGCGCTGCCTGTGAGTTACATGAACGCTGTCACCCTGTCTGCCTGCCAGGTGGGCCGCAGTATTGTTTTTCGATAAGTATAACTTTTTCGATATTTTACGAGTAATCATTATGATTAGGGAATGGTACATCGTGATTACTCATATGTCATATTAGGTCGAGATGGAATAAATGATTATATATGAATTTTGAATTTGAAATATCAACCATTGTCAAATAATTGCCAAAAAACATTTTCCAAGCATTTCTGGCCTTACTTTAGTTACAGAACTATACCAGAGAGACAACCACTAGATACAGAACCATACCAAACAGACAACCACTAGATATAGAACCAGGTCAGACAGACAACCACTAGATACAGAACAATACCAGACAGACAACCACTAGATACAGAACCATACCAAACAGACAACCACTAGATACAGAACCATACCAAACAGACAACCACTAGATACAGAACCATACCAAACAGACAACCACTAGATACAGAACCAGGTCAGACAGACAACCACTAGATACAGAACCATACCAAACAGACAACCACTAGATACAGAACCATACCAAACAGACAACCACTAGATACAGAACCATACCAAACAGACAACCACTAGATACAGAACCATGCCAAACAGACAACCACTAGATACAGAACCAGGTCAGACAGACAACCACTAGATACAGAACCATACCAAACAGACAACCACTAGATACAGAACCATGTCAAACAGACAACCACTAGATATAGAACCAGGTCAGACAGACAACCACTAGATACAGAACCATGTCAGACAGACAACCACTAGATACAGAACCATGTCAAACAGACAACCACTAGATACAGAACCAGGTCAGACAGACAACTACTAGATACAGAACCATGCCAAACAGACAACCACTAGATACAGAACCATAACAAACAGGCAACCACTAGATACAGAACCAGGTCAGACAGACAACCACTAGATACAGAACCATACCAAAGACAGACAACCACTAGATACAGAACCATACAGAACCATACCAAACAGACAACCACTAGATACAGAACCATACCAAACAGACAACCACTAGATACAGAACCATACCAAACAGACAACCACTAGATACAGAACCATACCAAACAGACAACCACTAGATACAGAACCATACCAAACTAGACAGACCACTAGATACAGAACCATACCAAACAGACAACCACTAGATACAGAACCATACCAAACAGACAACCACTAGATACAGAACCATACCAAACAGAACAACCACTAGATACAGAACCATACCAAACAGACAACCACTAGATACAGAACCATACCAGACAGGCAGACCACTAGATACAGAACCATACCAAACAGACAAACCACTAGATACAGAACCATACCAAACAGACAACCACTAGATACAGAACCATACCAAACAGACAACCACTAGATACAGAACCATACCAAACAGACAACCACTAGATACAGAACCATACCACGGAGACAACCACTAGATACAGAACCATACCAAACAGACAACCACTAGATACAGAACCAGGTCAGACAGAATCACCACTAGATACAGAACCATACCACAACAGACAACCACTAGA